AATCAGAGTTAAGGGTCACCAGACCTGAAATGTTAACTCTGATTTTTCTTCACAGATGCTGCCAGACCTGCTGAGCTTTTCCAGCAACTTCTGTCTTTGTTCCTAATTGAGAGCTTCTGATTTAAGATAACTGGGAGAAGGATTAGAGGGGACATGATTTTTTTCATTTAGGGAGAGTGGTGTCTGGTTTGATGATGGGGGCAGAAACCCTCAACGCCTTTAAAAGATCTGCACCCGGAGTGCCGTAGCCTGCAAGGCTGTGGGTCAGGTGCTGGAAGGTGGGATTGGAATGGAATACTAGGGTTATCAGCAAACACAATGGGATGAATTACCTCTTTTTATGCCACGAGTTTTCTATGGTTTCTACGGCATGTGATCGGAATGCTTTAACAAAATGTCAGGACCAATTAGCTGAATGGCCACTTCTAAAATAGTGTACTGTTTTATGATTTAACATATAAAACTAGAGACCAAGCTGTGCATGCACCGTGTTAGATACAATACACCTCTGTTCAGATTGCAATAAGACCAGTTCTACAGTGCTGTACATAAACAAGCCTTTTATTATGCATGCCTGGAATGGTGATTCTTGTATTTCAGAATAATTACTTGTGATTAAAGATTGCAGAAACAGAATTTGTTCAAATGCTCCTCAATTATCTATGACAAGTAGATTCGAAAACAGTGGAGGCTGGGGCAGAGAATTTATTCAAAAAGTTGACAGGGTGCTGAGAGTTATGACGGGCGGACAAGAAAGTGGAACGGAGACCACAACCAGATTAGCATAATCTCATTAAATGGCACAGCAGGCTCAAAGAGCTGAATCCCGAGTCTGACATTCCTAAATTATCTTCATACTTTCCAACTGTAGCAACACCTTTTAATTCTTTGCTTAATGCTCTGTATTCAGTCATGTCCCTATCACTATATAACTAACATGTTGCCTTTAACTCTTATGGCCACCAGACTTCACCAAGTGTTTTACAGCAACTAAACGACTTCTGGAGTGGAGTCACAAGTATAATGTAGGAAACATGGCAACTAAACTGCACACTGCAAACTTCTTCAAACAAGAAGTTTGTAGCAAACGTGATAATGATCAATTTATTGAACGAATGCTAACTATTGGCCAGGGCAGAAGGGCTAACTCCTCTGCTCTTGTTCAAATTCAGGATATGGGATCCTCTATGTCCATTTTAAAGATAGCACCTCTGACAATGCAGGACTCCCCAGAAATGGAGTCTCAAACCAGATCTCTGGACTTGAACCCACAACCTTCTGATTCCAAGGTAAGAGTGCTAACAAAGAATAATGACTGACAGGGTGAACATGTGCTTCTAAAATACAGGTGTCACATGAAAAACCTGCCTCTTAAGCAATGCAGAAGATTGCAACAAGATGAATAACATGCATTGTGCATTTTTACCCCTCCATTGCTGGCTCAAACCAAAGAGAAGGACAGATTTCTCTTTGTAAAGACTTTGGGGACTTGTCTTGAAATTTATTTTCTCCACCTTTGAAAAGAATTCATCCACTTTCCCACTTTCCAACTTTCACAAACACTATTGAGATGAAGAACTCATTGTGCAGGGATTAAAGTCATGAATCACTCCCTAGAACAGTACATTAGCTCACTGGAATTGCTCAGTTAAAATTTCCAGTCAACAGAAATGCACCATTCCTAACAGTGCTTATGGAGAGATTAAAGTGGATATCACACATTCTATTCAATTCACTAATGTGACCATGTCATGAAAGTACCACACACAAAACACCTCAGTATAGTTGTTACTTTATTGGCCAGTCAGAAGACAATATATATTCAAAACAATTTATAACTTCATCAGATGTTCAGCACTTTCCACAAAATATTGAAAAGCATTCTCCTCTATAACATTTAATGGTTGAACAAAATAAAGCAGTGGGAATTGGCCTATGCAAATAGTTACAAGACTTACAAGAAGAATTCTACCCCTCCAAACCTTCATTGCCCTTTACCTTTACGTTGTACGCATACTTGAATTGCATTGGCACACCTCAAAAAAATACAACTGCACTTTCTGGGTCGCATATAGTTGGATTATGCCCGAAGGCTGAGAAATGTATCGTATTTTACCTATACTAGTGGGTATAACATTATGATTTCCAGCAACATTTGTAGCTGATGCGCATTTCCGTTATTCTGATGCTGTGCTGAAATAGCTTCTCAGATTGAAACCAGTTCTAAATTTGTTTTGTTTATAGAGGTGTATAGAATGTTGATTTTTCACAGAATAAAAGCCTAGCTTTAGGGAGTTTGCCAAAAGCACTTACTCTGTAACATTACAACTGGAAATTGTAAATTTAACAATTTTATTTAAGACCCATGTTAGACATAAATATATACTTTAGACAATATATTCAAAATGCTGTTATAAATGTACAAGGACTACAATTAACATAAATCTCTGAAAGTACACTCATACAGTTATTGCTTTTATAAAACACATGCAATTGTAGTGATAGCAGAATTATGAACTAGGGTATGGCATTCTTGTGTATACAACCATGCTGTTTTAGGCAGTAGGTCTAAAGTGGAAACCCTTTGTCAATGGGATTTTTCCGGAGCCTTAATTTACAGTATTTTAATTATATTACTTTAGAAACTGTGCACTGATCATTTGTGAATTCTATTGATCAAAATATTTAGGTAAATAAGGTTAACCATACAAAACCTTGTTTTTCATATTAGCTGAAATCTATACAAGTGGATGATTTAATTCAAACATTTCACTTTCATTTGTTCAGCTTCTGCAGATCATCTAGTAGTCTTGTGGGTGTAAGAATGTGAGTTGACCCTGCGGAATAAATCCATATGTTAATTTGGCAATTTGCAACTGCATCAGAGACATTATCCATGTGCACTTTGGCTTGAAACTTAATTATACTTCACCCAAAGCCTGATTAGTTTCTCATGCTTGCATAAATATTCACCAAGTGCTTCCTTTAAAACTTTAGCTAGATCACACAGGATCAAACACAAAAGCTAAAATCTTAGCTAACACAGTTTGGAGCTGGTCGAACACAGCAGGCCAGGCAGCATCAGAGGAGCAGGAAAGTTGACATTTCGGGTTGGGAACCTTCTTCAGAAGAAACGAAACTCCAAATGGTGTTATCTCTGACTCCAGCATCTGCAGTTCTTCCTAACGAGCTAAAATCTTACTCTCACCATTAAAGCCTCAATACACAAAAAGTAAAATTGTTAACAAAGAGATTTTAGAAGTACTTACCAACAATCACTTCACAATGCTTAATACTACTCTGAGAAACTTCATACGCACAGCGCATCTCCGAGTAAGTGACACCTCCTATTATGAAAATAATTAGTTTGACACTTCTACGTTCATCTTGAAGATTGCTTTTGTTCCCCTGACGAGCACTAAACAGGAAAGGCACAATTAGTTAATGTCTGGTCCATGATTATGGGAGTTCTTTTCTTATAACCTAATAGGTGCAAATAAACTTCCTGATTTCTTCAGATATTTCATGCAGGAGAAATTGCATGGATATGGAGAAAGAATGGGGCAGTGGAACAAACTAGATTTCTCTTTGAAAGAGCTGGTGCTAGCTGCAGGGGCCAAGACAGCCTCTTTCACTGATCATGGTTCTGAAGTATTATGTTCTAAATGCAAACTTCTTGTAATTATAGTCTACCTGCTAAGGTCTATCAAATCAAGAATATACATTAACCTTGTAAGAAGAAAGACATCTTTCGGGATATTTTCCTTAGAAAAGTATTACAAAAACGGGAAATTCAAAATCAGGAAATCAGAGACGCCAAAGTAAAAGATGCACTTTACTAAGAGGCTCCATGACCAATTCCCTACACATGAACTCAACAGTGGACCCTTGAAACACTTCCACCTCTGCCCATTACATCAATGGGTACATTCTGTCAAAGACGATCACAACAGCAACAGTCCATCAGAAATATCAAGAATTTTATTTTAACAACTAATTAGAAATCTTCCATTTCTGAATCGTACAACTTTACATTTTACCCCAAAAATTTCCATTCAAGGTTCTTTGACAAAATACTAATTGTCCTTTCATTATAAAAAAACAAAAAAAAAAAATCATCAAAACCACTATCTACTGCTACGGTAAAATAGGCTAACCACTGAATTCCTTCAGGTACAACTGAAACGATCTAATCAAAAGATGGGACACAAAGTGTTTCATAATATTTACTTTGTATTAAATTGGTCAGTAAAAGGTTAAAGTCTACACTGAAAATATTCGATACATGTATATTTAACAAATTGGTCCTTTTCAAATGTTAATTTTATTAAAGTTGCAGATAAAGATTCATAACAGCTTAATTGTTAAAAAAAATTTATACCTTACAGCTCCAGAGCCATTCCAAGCTGAACTACAGCCTGAGCAATGAGGCCATTCCACGGAATTAAGTTTGTTTAAAATGGAATCCTGTACAAAAAAAAAACACACACCCATTTATAAATTGCGATGGTTCAATGCTCTTAGGTAGCAAATAGACAGTAGAACATGCAGACAAAGCAACAAGAAAGGCTAGAACACTGATTAGGGCTACTGTTTCAAATACAACTGTGCAACTGTACCTTGAATTCTAACTGACAACAAGGAAGACGACTCAGTAGTCCCTGCAATGCCAGTTAGTTAACCAGGGCAACTCTTAATCTCATTTTAATCTCTGTTCCTTTGCCTTTCTCTTTCTCCTTTTAAAACCTTTGCCTCCTTAAAAAAAACTAATCGCAAACACTGCAATGTATTCAGGATCTGTGATCTACTGGTAGTGCATTCCACATTTTCACAAATGTTTGTTTGATATTTCTTGTATTCAATTGTTGAGCGGTTGAGGACTCTGAGTCTGTACTCGACGGAGTTTAGAAGGATGAGGGGGGATCTCATTGAAACTTACAGAATACCGAGAGGCCTCGATAGACTGGATGTGGAGAACGTTCCCATTAGGAGAGACTAGGACCGGAGGGCACAGCCTCAGAATGAAGAGCTACTGAACGGAGATGAGGAGGAATTTCTTCAGCTAAAAGTTGGCGAATTTGTGGAACTCACAGCCTCGCAGCCTTCTGTGGCAAATTTATTGAGTGTGATTAAGACATGGGTAGATAGGTTCTTGATTAGTAAGGGGATCGGAGAAGGCAGGAGGATGGGATTTGAGAAATATACCAGCCATGATGAATAGCAGAGCAGATTTGATGGGCCAAATGGCCTAATTCTGTTCCTATTCCTTATGATCTTATTTTATTCTGGATTGGCTTTTAACCAGCTTTGTTCTCTGTATCAAGTTGCACACGCCCTTGCTCTAGATCCCCCAGTTGGGAGACTTATCTGGTTGGTCAATCTTCTCATTATTTCAAACTTTACAGATTCCCAAGAGAATAAAAGCTGATGGGCAATTTCTCCAACTCAATCCTCATGGAATCAACTCTCTAAACCTTCATGTTAATTCTGCTGATAGGTAAATTCTTATTCTGGGCCTACTTAGATCAGTCTAGAATCTGCAGTCTAAACATTCTGCAGGTGATTGCAAAACCTCATCCATGGTGTTTGTTTCACTTTCCCGAAACTCAGATAACCCGCAACAAAATAGATACTTGGTTCCTTCCTTAATTTGCATTTTTATAGCACCTGATCACATTGCATCCTAAAGTGTTTAATATGCTTCAAACAGCACATTGACCAGTACAAAAGCCACTTTGCATGTATCAACAATGAGAAAACAACAAATGAGAAGAATGAATCAGTCTTGGTTTGCTGGCTCAGGGAAAAACCTTGTTGTCCCAGGCAACTTTCTGCACTTTGTCAAATAGTGGAATACAGTTAACATCCACTCAGACAGGGAAGAGGACTGTGATTTAATTAAAGGATAGCACCATTTTCATAATGCAAGGCTCCTCCAGTTCTGAACAGGGGACTGGTGTGAAGATCCAACCCCACCCAATCCACTCACTGTGAAAGAAAACAGGAAAGCAAACAAAATTGCACTTACACTATACAAGTAAATAGTATACTACAAGTGGTATGGTAAATCCTCAAATATTCAGTACCTCTCATACATTATTGCTCAAATACATTACATTGACAAAATGGTATAGCTGGAATTCTGAATGGGCAAATCAATGAAAATGTATAAATGTTAAACAGAGCAGTTTAGAGAGATTGATTCAAATATACTCCTTTTTAGTGTGTACACCACCTCAATGCTTAATGACAATATCAGAAATGGATCGAACCCTTTTAGAAACTTCATTCAATGTAAATGTCATTTGAGGCCAAATTACATCATGCATCGAGGGTATCAATTTTATTTCCTGGAAATATTTTTCCCAAATTGCAACCAACAGATTAAATTGATATAAATTTCAGATTGAGTCAACAGTTAGTACTGTTCTAAGATTAAGTGGTATAAATTTCAAGGTGCTAAATTACTTAGTCATATTTTTAACCATTCACTCATCATTTTGGAAGCGCTCAGCAAATGTGGTCACTTTCAATTGTCAAAATAAGTTTATTAAACTAATTGTATGAAGTTTCTTGATTTTTGAAAAAAAAATGTTAAAATGTGTGGCTCGGTTCCTTGCTCCAAAAGATAAAAGAATTGCAGATAGAAAGATAGTAAAGAGGAGGAGTAGGTCATTCAGCCCTTCAAGCCTGCTCCACCATTCAATACGATCGTGGCTCATCATCCAACTCAGTACACTGTTCCCCCTTTCTCCCCATACCCTTGATTCCTTCATCACCAAGAACTATATCTAACTCCTCCTTCAAAATATTCAATGTTTTGGCCTCACCCTGATATTAGGAATTTTATACTCTGGTTTGTTGAAGGTTCATGAACTTCTTTCAGATCATTAGCCCTAACTGCACTCAACCTCCTATTCAATGGGGTAACAGTCAACCTATTGCTCTGAAGTTGGTAGGATTTTCAGAATATCCAAAATTCCAAACAGCCTCAATTCAAACTAAGTTCTGACAAATATGAACTCTCTAATCCCTGAGGTGTTCCCAAGTCTCCCAATTAAGCTGTTTCAAGCCATGTTTGGTCCTCCTTAATAATTCTTTACTTAAAGTCTACTGCTAGATTTTAATATTCCACGCCATTTCTCCATCTCTCCCCTGAGAAGACAGTTTGGAGATGAAGCAAGCTGTTTGATCAGGCAAGAAGGTTGAAAGTGGAGATTTCCCTCATTCTCAACTCCTCCCATGTAAGGGTTATTTAAAAGGACCTCAACTTGCTACATGAATAACGAACCCCGAATCCAGGGATGCTTCTAGCTAACAGATTTGTCCATAGTATACTGATAGGGAGGAGGTCCCTTGCACAGTGCCCAAGCAAGGGACCTGGTATCAGGAAAGGAGGCCCTTTGTGGAAAGGCACTCTCCTGGCCTGGCTGCTGAACCTCTACCTGCAAGCCCCACTTACTGGTGCACCCACTATTCCTATAATTTAGCTCCCTCCAGAGATCCCGTATCAATCTAAATGCAATACCAGCAGTGTTCACCTACTCCTAGTGGCACAGTCAGTATTAGACCAGCAGCTGCCCTACTTTGGGATTCATTCAACTGGGAGCAGGCTACTGCCCAGGCAAGCACCAGATTTCCTCTGACATGGTGATGCCTGGTTTTGTAGCCAGATGTAAATGCCACCACAAACATTAAACCCTATCCCTTTTCTCTATCAGTTTGGGGTTCTTGGATAAAGCCTGTTGCTTCTTTCTGTAATTTGATCCTGCCTCTGTTTTATTAATTCACATAATTAAGGCAAACAAGATAAATCAGATACAATATTGCTTCCTCTGTTGAAAGAAATCAGGAAAGCAGTCTGTTGTTGTTGTTGACCCAAAATTTAAAGACTATGTATAAGGGGAAATGGGAAGAAAGAAAAAGTTAAAAAAACATCAATTCATATTGTCACTTTAATGAAATCTCAAGGTAGTGCAAAACTAAATATGACAATAAGCCACTACAGAGACGCAAGGTCAGCTGAAGCAAAGCTTGGTCAAACAATAGGTTTTAAAAGGAGTGTCTCAAAGCAAGTGCAGGAAGAGGGAAGAGAGGTATAGTTACTGTGTTCCAGAGCTCAGGGATTCAGATTCAATTCCAGCCTTGGGTGACTGTGTGGAGTTTGCACATTCTTCCTGTAACTGCACGGGTTTCCTCCAGGTGCTCCAGTTTCCTCCCATAGTCCAAAGATGCGTAGGTTAGGTGGATTGAATAGGATAGGATAGAATAGAATAGAATAGAATATCCTTTATTGTTACTTGTACTCCAGTACAGAAGTACAGTGAAAAGTTTTTACAATGGCTGCCTTTTAATGGTGCCATCTTAGGTTCAAGTCCCTGGATACAAATCTTACAGAGTTAAAAAAAAATGTTACTATACAAGAAGATTGAAAGGTAAGGATTTACATTATAGTCTGGTTAAGAGTACCAAACAGCAACAGTTCAGCATGTGGCACCAGGCCTGGGTCCAACAACTGTCCCACATCACACCAGCCTCCAGTCCACTCCTCACCGGCACTCGGCAGCAACAAGGTAAGTCGCACTTTACCAGGATTCGCCTCCCTCACTCTGGGACTTGGCATTCCCCACATGGTGTTCCGGGGTTCACAGCCCACGTGCTGTACTGGCTCAATCCCCGCACTGCTCCAGGCCGTGCAGCTTCATGTGGTGTTCCAGCTCGTTTCCCAAGGCTCACATACTCCAGGACTCGCTGCTCCAGGGACTTGCTGGGGGTGTCTCCAGGCTTTCATCACAAATGAAGCAAAATGGCTGCTGTGTCAACGGCGATGTATCATTATTCCTCAAAGCAGTTGTGAATTATGCTGAAATTTCTTGTGGTGTTTGTCCAGTTTCTAGTTCCCTTTGAATTCTTACACCTTTAGAAAAGGTCCATTGTGCTGTCCACAATTGAATTCTAAATGCCTCCAATTCCGATCGAAACCGAGATAACACTCCAGCAGACCTGCGGTTCAAAACAGCAGTCACATCTTGGACCCATGTGTGGAAATGGTTTGGCCATGCTTATTTGCCCCATAGTGTCCAGGGATGTGCAGGCTAGACGAATTAGCCATGGGAAATGCAGGGTTACAGGGAAAGAGTTGGGGAGGTTGGTCTGGGTGGGATGCTCTTTGGGAGGGGCAGTGTGGACTCAAAGGGCCAAATGGCCTGCTTCCACACCTGTAAGGATTTTTTGATTCTATGAATGTGGGGCTGGAGAAGACTACAGAGACAAGTAAGGATGAGGCCACGGAAGGAGTTTAAAACAAGGCTGAGGTTTTTAAAATGAAGATACTGCTTGACACGACAGCCAATGCAGGTCAGAATGTACAGGCATAAAGAATGGAAAAACGAAAAGAGAATGCGTTAATGCAAAACTATTAAAAATATTATTGATTTGTGTTATAATTAGAGAGTTTCAAATTAGAACAACACACAATTGAAGTAAATGTAACTGGGAGCTGCTTGACTATATTCCAGGAACTATTTGTAATAACAGTGTTTGCAACTAAATCCTATCGTTATCCATATGAACAAACATTTTTTTTATATATTCTAATGACTTCAAGGCTACAAAACACATCAATGCATTCAAATAAGGAGAAGTATTGTGTATTTATACTTCGGATAATGTTACCTCCATGACATCTTTAATGAATGGGGTCCATCTGGAAAGCTGGTAGCTCTCTACATCACTGCGATCCTTCCGAGAAAGTTTACGGTGCTGACCATCAGCCTTGCAAAGGCATGCATTAGAAGGGAAACATTTTAAGCAAACGTTAACAATACGGTTTTCATTAAAACCATTTTCAGACACAATTAGGTTCACTTTTTTCAGTTAAATAAGTTATTAACCCTTCTGCGCAAAAGGGAAAAGAGAAAGTCAACGAGACAGTGAAATGCATCTGTCAGTTTAAATTTACCAATCAACACATTTCCTCCAAGATGCGGAAACAGCTCCCATGGTTTTTTTAAAAATTCACTTGTGTTTCACTTCCAGTGTGAAGTCCAACCAAAACCAAATGTAAAATTACAAAGTCATTTAATAACTACCCTGATTGTTTAACTTACAGAGAAAATGGGTACATCAAGAAATTTCCAATTTTCAATGATATCACAGTACTCCATAACCTTGCCATGCTGGATAAGCTTTCTAAGATTCTCTTCTGTAGTACCTTTAACAGAAAGTGAAAGCAAAATAGCAGTGATCATCCCATCAAGTTTGTTTTACAAACACATGACCTATGTCACACAAACACTTTTTTCAAACTTCCAACAGTGCGATACACTTGAATATGTTTTTGAGAAGATTTATAGTTCGGGTTGTGGATGAGGTTGGAGACTTGCTCGCCGAGCCGGTGGGTTTGGTTGCAGACATTTCGTCACCCGCTGGATAACAACTTACCTAGGTAAGACCCCTAAGTGTCAGGGTAGCCCACAAACCAACAACCACCCTACAACGGTTATTGACGAACGTAAATGACTCCATACCTACACCCCATTAAACTAACGTGATATACAAAATACCATGCAAGGACTGTTAGAAACATTACAATCGGCCAAACTGGAAGAAAACTGGCAATAAGAATACACGAACACCAACTAGCCACCAAGAGACACGATCAATTCTCATTGGTCTCAATATACACGGGCAAAGAAGGACATGAATTTGACTCTGACAACATATCCATAATAGCACAAGCCAAACAGAGACATGCCAGGGAATTCCTGGAGCTTCAACCGGAACTCCATCAACAAACACATTGAAATGGACCCGATATACAAACCAGTGAAAAACAGAACCGGAAGTGATGCCAACCACCCCAGCAAACCGAGGCAGATAAATAACAAGTGGGACAGAACACTGACGCTCCACCGGAGGTGCACTGACAATGTTACCTAGCAGGGTGAAGAAATGTCTGCAATCAAACACACTCGAATATGCCTGGTAAGCCATTCAGGCAGTCTTAGTATGTGCCTGGCTATAAAGTTAGATAGATATAGAAGCAATATATTTCACAGAAGGGGGAGTCAGGAATGGGCAAGAATAAATTTTCCAACTTCATACAAGTATTCCTCATGCTTATTTTGCAGAAACTAAGTTATTTCAGGCCTATAGTTAATGCACCAGGAATATCACTGTGTGGGAACAGAGTATAATGAGGCCAAAGTGCAATGAGGTACAAGTGCTAACTTGGGAACTGGGTGTAGCCTCCAGACGCTGGCGTGTGTTCAAGGCTTTAATTAAGAGAACAGATAAAACAAAACCTCGCTAGTTTTCTAAGATTATATCCATCAAAACACAGACATTAGTTGGAGCCAGTACTGGGGGAGATACACGTATTGAATTAAATTTATAGTTTAACTTGTTAAACTACTTTGATGTAAGTACAGACAACAGTTGAGTGACATTTCTAAAACAGAAACACAATAAGTTAAAGTAAATACAATAAAGCTGACAGGGCAGGTGATCTATTGCAGCTGCAGCTGGGAAGTACCCGCATAATCTACGTCAACGACATCGGCAATAAATGTCTCCAGGATCTTGGAACTGAGGAACTGGAGTCTAATGTTTAGATAATCAGGGAGGGGGAAGATTTACTTGGGCTCCTTATTCCTGAAGACAGTCACAGCCCTTAGACTAGGTACTTCAGATTTGGTCCAATGGTTAGGACACAGGAGGGCATGACTGCAAGTGAGGCTGACACAGAAATCCAGAAGGCAGCAGTAAAGGAGCCTAATCCTTCAGAATTGTTCAGCAGGTTCAACCTGCGTGCGTGAAAGCAAGCTAGGGCAACAAGGAGGAAGGGCAAACATACCAGAACACTCGTGCAGGGAGCCAGTCAAATGCAGAGAGCAAACTAGAAAAGTAGTGGTAGTGGGGGACAGCACAGTCATGTGGATAGATACTGAACTCTGAAGGCTGCATTGCCTGCCCAGTGCCAGGACAGAGGGCATGGCTTCATGGTTGGAACTTGGAAGTGCAAGGGCAAAAGGTCTGGTTGTGCTGGTCCATGCCCTTACAAACAATGTCGATAGGGTGGCATGGTGGCTGAGCGGTTAGCACTGCTGGCTCACAGCGCCAGGGGCCCGGGTTCGATTCTACCCTCAGGCGACTGTCTGAGTGGTGTTTGCATATTCTCCCCGTGTCTGCGTGGGTTTCCTCCGGGTGCTCCAGTTTCCTCCCACAGTCCAAAGATGTGCAGGCTAGGTGGATTGGCCCATGCCAAATTGCCCTGTAGCGTTCAGGGATGTGCAGTTAGCTGGGATGCTCTGTGGGTTTGTGTGGATTTGTTAGGCCGAAGGGCCTGTTTCCACACTGTAGGGATTGCATGAATAATTCTATGAAAAAGAACCAAGAAGGAGCATCAGCTGAAGGACTATGAGCAACTAGCGCCTAAATAATAAACCTGAACCACAAAGGTAATAACCTCACAATTACAATCTGAGCCTTCAGCAAATTTGCATAGGCTGAATAAAATTAGAGAGAGTTGAATGCAAGGCACAAAGATTGGTGTGGGGGAAAAAATGGGTTTTGATTCACGGCTTACTAACCCCACTTCTGGAGAAAAGGGGAGTTCATCTGTTAGGGGACTGTGACTGCATTCACCTGAACTACATTGAGACAAGTGCAGGCAAGGAGGGCAAACAAAGGTAGTCTTGGAAGGTTAAAGGAGAAAAGTCAAGGCAATAGTTCAGGGTAGCAGAGTGATACAGGAAAGGACAAACATGAGAGAGCACGAGCAAATAAGATCAGAGTAGGGAAAAAGGGTGAAAAAGCAATTAAAGGTTCTTTATCAGAATATACACTGCATTTGTTACAAGATCGATGAATTGTTTGAACAAATAGAAATAAATGTGCATGATATGATAGCCATTGTAAAGACACTGTTGCAAAGTGACTGAATATGCATGGTTACTGGACATTACTGAAAGGACAAGAAAACAGCTAAGGAGCTGGAGTGGCTTTTCTAATAAAGAATGTGCTCATTAGTGAGCAATAACCTTGGTTCAGGGGATCAAAATGTAAAACCAGTTCAGTGGAGACAAAAAAAAAGCAAAGGAAAGAAGTCATTGATGGATTATAAGGCCCTGCCAGTAGCTACACCGTAAGACAGTACAAATCAAGAAATAATGCAATAATTGTGGGAAAGTCTAATTTTCAACTAAACTTAATTCATCAAAAATTGGCAGAAATAGCCTGGATGAGGAGTTAAATAAAGGTGTATTCGAGGTAATTTTTCAAAACAACACATTCAGGAACCAGCTTAATATGGACCCGGTAATGTGTACATAGACAAGATTAATTAATGACCTCATAGCAGTACATGGTCTAGGTAACAGCAACCATAACATGATAGAATTTTACATTCAGTTCCAGATGGAGAAATTTTTGTCTGAAATTATTATATTAAAATTAAATAAAGGCAATGACAAGGGGACAAAGACAGTTGGCTCAAGTTAAATGGGAAGATCAGTTAAAAGGTAAGACAGTAGGAGGAGGAGTAACATACATTTAAGGAGCAATTTCATAACTTTCAACAATGTATTCTGCTGAGAAAGAAAGATGCAATGAGAAAGATCTTTCATCTAGGCTTAACTAAAGTCGTCGATGCTGGTTCAAAATTGAAAGTAAAATTCTGCAAACGTTATTGGAGCCTGAGAGTTTTAGGAATTTTTTTTTAGAAAGATGGGAAGTATGACTGTAGAAAAAGATGAAATTGGACTATGAGTGAAAACAATTTAGAAATACAAACATAGATTAGAAGACCTTTGACAAATAGGAAGGAAACCTAGCTAAAGCAAGTGTTTGTGTATTAAAGGTTTGGACTGGAAAATTAATAAAACAAGGAAATGGTTGAAGCTTTGAACAAGTTTTTTTTTGCAAAACTGTTTCCATGTTGGCACAGAAAGGATTCCAAGAGTAACAGAAAATCAAGAGGCACAAAGGGAGGAAGGAACTTAAAATCATGATCAATAACAAAAAAGTACCATGAAAACTAATGGGACTAAAGGCTATCAAGTCCCCTGGACCTGATGGCCTGCACTTTTAGGTCTGAAAGGAAGTGTGTGCACATAGAATGGATACATTGGCTCAAATTTTCCACAATTTCCCATATTCTGGAGAAGCCCTAATTGATTGAAAACCACAAATGCTTAAATTCACTATTTAAGAAAGAAGGGCGATAGAAAGCAGGAAATGTACAAAGATGCAACAAGTAGAATGAATAAAAAGTGGAATCAGTAGATGCCAGTGTATCTTCCCATTCCACTTTAGCAAAGCCTGCTTTCACACCCTTGTCATTGCCTTTAAGACAGTAGTTTCAAACACAAATTTCTCACCCTCAAACTGAATGTGAAATTATATGTTATGGACCCTTTTACCTAGAGGATGCTTTAATATGGGGTCATTAATTAGTCTTACATCTGTCATTGTGAAAATGCCAGTATCTATTATTTAAGTGGTAATAGCAGGGCATTTAGAAATCATAATACAATCAATCAATCATACTGAGTCATCGTAGCTATCAGAAATCTCATGAGACAAAGTTATCAAAATTTGATCAGCACAAGTTGCTGGGGTCGATTGGCTAACAAGCGGCAATGACCAAAAGCTACATAAACTTGGGTTGTTTTCTTTGGAGCAGAGAAGGTTGAGAGGGGAACCTGATAGAAGTGTATCAGATTATATGGGGCATGTACAGGGTGAACAGAAAGAGCTGTTCCCCTTAATCATTTAAAGTGAAATGTAGGAGGTTTAGGGGATTTAAGAAAAAACTTTTTCTACCCAGAGGGTGGTAGGGATCTGGAATGCACTGCTTGGGAGGGTAGTTGAGGCAGGAAACCTCACAACCTTTAAAAAGTACTTGGATGAACACTTAAGTGTCATAATATTCAAGGTTAAGGGCCTAGAGCAGGGAAGTGGGACCAGTACAGATAGTATAATAGCTTTGGTGATACAAACATGACGAATCAATGGGCCTCTTCTGTAATACTATATGATTCCATGATTCAGAGACTACAGATTCAAGATTAATGGGTTATTTTCAGGTCAGCAAAGTGTAACTAATGGAGTGCTGTTGAGATCAGTGTTGGAGCTTTATTTATAATGATTCGGCTGAAGGTATAGACTGTATTGTAAACAAATTTATTGATGATACAAAAATAGGTAAGAAAGCTAAAGTTGTAAGGATACAAAGAATCTGTAAAAGGGATAAAAACAGGTTAAGTGAGTGGGCAAAAAATGAGCATGATGTGGGAAAATATGATGTCCCTTTGGCAGAAAGAACTGAAATGTAGCATATTATTTAAATGGACAGAGACTGCAGAATGCTGCAATATAGAAGGATCCGGGTGGGTGCCATTCTACAGGAATCACAAGAAGTCAGAATCCAAGTACAGCAAGTGACTAGGAAGCCAAATGGATGTCAGCCTTTATTGTGAGAGGGATACAGCGCAAGAGTAAACAAGTGTAAACAAACTAGTGGAATGCATTGCCGGAGAGGGTAGTGGAGTCAGCCTCATTAGGGGCATGTAAGTGGCTATTAAATAGGCATATGGATGATAGTATAAGGTAGGAGTGGAGGTTAGATAGACCTTAGGATTAGGGTAAAAGTTTGACACAACATCGTGGGCCGAAGGGCCTGTACTGTGCTGTACTGTTCTATGTTCTAAGTCTTGCTACAATTTTACAAGGCACTGTTAAGGCCACACCTAGTTTCTTGGAACAGTTTTGGTCGCCTTATTTAAGGAGGGACATGTTTGCAATGGAAGCAGTTGAGAGAAGGTTCACTAGGCCAATTCCTGATGGAATTTTTACAAAAAAATCTTATGAGGCAAGGCTGAACAGGTTGTGCCTATACCCATTGCAGTTTAGAAGTTTGAGAGATAACGTTGCGCAAAAACGCAAGATTCTGAGGGGCATTTGACAGAGTAGAGGTTGGATGATGTTTCCTTTTTTTGTGGAAAATTCTGGAACTAGGAGTCTTTGTTTAAAAATAAGGGGTCTTCCATTTAAGAAAGATACAGGGAGGAATTCCTTTACTCAAATTTGTTAGTCCTTAGAATTATCTTCCATAAAATGCAATGGTGACTAGGTCATTGAATAAATTCAAGGCCGAGTTAGACTGATGTTTTATTGACAAGAAAGTTTGGAGTTCTAAACGAAGTGGAGTAAAGTCCACAATCGGATCTGTCATGGCCATACTTAATGAAAAAGCAGGCTTGATCTGCCAAATGGCCTACTCCTGCCCCTATTTGTTATGATTGCCAGGCCATTATAATCTACAGCGCACAAACAATTAACTTGGCATTTCAGACATGATAAAATGGGAATACCTAAGGAAATTCAGAACTTTAATGATTCAGGACTCAAACCACAAGGACAGAGCAAGAAAGCTGATGAGCCTTGCTGCATAGTTTTGGCAGCTTTCTCCAAGGGCCTGCATATCCTACAAGTAGTGGCTTCAAGGCAATGTAGAATTAATGCAAATTCTCAATGTCATCAGTTATAGCATTAGATTTGCTACAGCTCAGAAGAAGCCAAAGTTGTGATTCTGTGAACATAAGCATTGGGCCAGATTCAAACCAGTTTACAAGCTCTTTTTCAATAACTGGGCAGCATGTTTAAAAACAAAAGCAAAAGGTGTAAGGTCATTAAAATATTTCATTTTCTTGTTGTATGGTTATAGACAACAAACCACTATCATTTTATACATTCAGATTAGTTGAATTTTTACACTCAAGTACATTGATTAACAAAATGATTCTCCAGTATCTCAGGCTAAGTGTATCTTCTTTACTCAGCAATGAAAAACTCCAGGCAATTCTGTACATTGCAGGGAAAACTATTTCTATAAATTGGCACAGGAAGACAGACAAAGAAAGTCAACAAAATCCTCTGATCTGTCTCAATGCAAAATGCAGTACTCAAAACAATGAATCTAAATTTTCCTATGGCCACCTAACAGATCTTAATTTCAAACGATTTGGAATCAGTGCAACAACATTTCTGTTCCTGAAGGAGGAATTATCTGGAAGATTGCCTTGCAGGACCAAGAGAACATTCTCAGCAGTGTTGCATTTTATTCCACTAATACCGTGGATTTAATTAAAATCTATATTCAAAATGATTATAGCACCAGTTGTCATGAACAAAAATTAAATCAGTTAAACAAGTAACCATATTATTGTAATAAAATCAAATTATTGAAAATGCTGAAGATCTGAAACAAAAGCAGAAAGTGCTTGAGAAACAAAACAGGTCTGGTAGTGACAGCAGAGAGAGAAACAGAGTCAGAGTCAATTTTGAGCTCAATATAATTTTTCTTCAGAACCTGATCTGAGAATCAGATTATAATATTGGTTTTGTGTGAAATGACGGCAAACTACAATCCATCACTACCATGAAGAAAAATGAATTGGTGCCATTCTTATGAATCCATTTATAAATGTATTTTAATTTGTAAAACTGTTGACTTTTCACATCGTGGTGTTCATAAATAAACAAAACTAACACTAGATTCTGAACCAATGTCACGTTTACTGTACCATTCACGTGGAAGATATAGAGCAAGATGATCCTTAATTTGTCATAACTTCCAATAGACCTATCCAGCAAAATGGGCAGAATGATTCTCATCGGATCCTTAATTTTTTGCTGTTGTGCATCAGTTCCCATGGCAAGGTCCTTAAGAAAAGAACACTTCCTTACTAATAATGGACGTCAACAATCGTTGAACAAGTTTATTGTTTTGACAAATTTTACCGAAACATATCTCAATATTTTATAAAAATAACATTCATAAAAACTATCATTTATTTTACAAAATTGTAATGTCTAGTGTACAGAAGCTTAAAGAATAACATTTACCTGCTCAGCCTTGCAGAGTTTTTCTATCGTCCCATGGAAGTGCCCCATACAGTCTTCAGCTAAGTTCAGATGAACTGTTTGCTATAGTGGGGGAGAATGAAAACATCTTTGCTCTAAATCAGATTTAGACAAAAAGCCCCAGTCAGTCACACTCCAAACTTCATGGTCAAATTCTTTGAATTGAGGCAACACGTGCCCTTCAAAAACAAAACTGCTCTTCACTTTTTAAACGACAGAATTATAGCTCATTGAACTGATAAGGCACACATTTTATTGCTCCTTTCTGCCATTTAATTAGTATGACAATGGAAAAGTGAGATGAGAATATGATTGCCCTTGACATCAAGACACAGTTGATAGAATGTAGCTTACTTATTGGAGTCAAGCCTAATACAAAGAAAGAAAGAGGTCTCAGGACATCTCTGCAGGAGTTCCTCATGGCACGTCCTAGGCTCAAAGATCTTCAGCTATTTCATCAAAGACATTCCCTCGATCATGCGGTCAGAAGTGAAGATGTTCACTGATGATTGCACCATGCTTAGCACCATTCAGGACTCTTCACATACTAAAGCAGTCCATGCCCAAATGCAGCAAGACCTTGGCAATATTCAAATGTAGGCTGACCAGAGCAAAGTAACATTCCTGCCAGGCAATGACCATCTCCAACAAGGGAGAATGTAACCATCATCCATTGACAGTAAATGGCATGACCATCGCAGAATCCACCACAATCAGTGTCCTATGGGTTACCACTGACCAGAAGCTGAGCTGGACTAGCCAGCTAAAATGTATAGCAGGCCAGAGGTTAGGAATACTGCAGCAAGTAACTCGCCTTCTCACCCCACCCCTCTTAGAAACCATAATCCAGAAAACACCTATTTGACCATTACCATCACCTCTCCCAATCCCTTCTTGGTGTCTAGATTTGACCACGTTTTTGTACATTCGGGGCATGAGTGTCTTGCTGGTTAAGCCACCGTTTAATGCCCATCCCTAATTACCCATATTTCACTAAAACAAAATGCTCAAAACCTTTTCCCTTAAAAAGGTAGAGAGAGATAACAAGGTGTAGAGCTGGATGAACACAGCAGGCCAAGCAGCATCAGAGGAGCAGGAAGGCTGACGTTTCGGGCCTAGACCCTTCTTCAGAAAAATCTCAGATTCTCCAGCATCTGCAGTTCCTACTACCCCCTTAAAAAGGTATCTAACTTATCACTGTGAAAAATATAATTTATTTTCAGACTTCTGCCATTCTCAGGTAAATTACTCTACACGTACTGTATAAGCTCTGAATAGGAGCACATGTGAATACATTCACTCTGAAGTGTTATTATAATGCACTAAACAAAATATAGAATTCAACAGTTTATTTCATACCTTGGTCTTTTGCTTTCGGTAGTGAGGCAACTTTTTCATCATTTGTGATAAAGAGCTGAGGGTGACCTGGAAGATAAAGAGATAGCCAGAAAAAAAATCAAAGACGAGCATAATATAACAAGGTTCCATTTATAGACACTGGCATTCATAGTTTGGCTGCTGTACATCTTGCTGTTGCAATTTTTTTTGGAGATTATGACAACAGCAAAATTAAGCAGTTGGTAAAAAGATTTGTCATTTCATAAGAGAATTATAGGGAGATGTTTCATCCATCTTAGTTAATCTATTCATATTCGAATCTCCATTCAGCAGCTCGTTATTTTCTTGAAATACTCCAGGACTTTCACCTGCATCTCCTTACATGTAATATTATCAAATATCCTATATCTAATTTTCCCGCTTCCTTTTCTATCTTATCTGTCACGAAGACCATTTCTCAAATGCCTCCTTCTCAGGTTGAAATGCTTCTTCAGTCCATCTTTCTGTTTAAGATGCAAAACAATGAGGAATTAGTTTTGCAGCACTTCAATACATTATTTCCAGCATATCAACGTCTCCCTTGTAACTTGACAAATTGGAACTGGACACAGAACTCAAGATGTATTCTGACTGCAGCACCACACATGTCCCATTGACTTGCACTCTACTGTTTAGGCAATGTTCTTCAATATTCTGTTGTCACGGTTGACTGATACTCAGCATTAATGGGTTTGTTGAGCATTGAGCTGATTAAAAATACTTGGTTTTTTTTCATTTCTTCAGTTTCAATACAGCCATTCTTGGAGTAGGTATCTCTTTTATTTTCCCTACCAACCTTAAGTACTGTGCACTTTTTCACATTTAATTAACCTGCTGTTGGTTGATTCACTCATTTTATTAAGATCAATTTGAAATTCCTCCACTGTCCCTATTTTGATATCATCTGCAAATTTGCCGACTTTCACCGAATTGCTGGTTTGCATTTATTTATTGCCCACAGATCACCAAAAACTACTGCACAGGTCAAAACATTAACCAAAAAGTGATTTACCACAATGATACCAATGATTGAATAGTTAAAAGTACAAAGGACAGGGATGCAGAAACTTGGTTTGTACACCTTCAAGTTTAGGAGATAAAATCTAGGCATTTAAAATCATTGTGGAATTCACTAAGGTAAACAGAGAAACTATCTTCACTGATGTGGGAAAAACAGAACAAGAGGGTGTCATTTTAATACTGGAAACTATTTAAGGGAGAGTACTGATACGGATGGAACCTACAAACGTTCCTAAGGTATTTCTTTCCCTGCCTAGTAGCAGCTAAACCAAGATTATATTCATTGGAATTCAGAAGATTGAGGGGGGATCTTATAGAAACATATAAAATTATGAAGGGAATAGATAAGATAGAAGTAGAGAGGATGATTCCACTGGCAGGTGAAGCTAGGACAAGAGGGCATAGCCTCAAGATTAGAGGAAGCAGATTTAGGACTGAATTGAGAAGGAACTTCTTCACCCAGAGGGTTGTAAATCTATGGAATTCCTTGCCCAGTGAAGTAGTTGACCCTACTTCAGTAAACGTTTTTAAAGATACCGTAGATTTTTTTTGAACAATAAAGGAATTAAGGGATACGGTGAGAACGTGGGTAAGTGGATCTGAGCCCACGAAAAGATCAGCCATGATCTTATTGAACGGCTGAGCAGGCTCGAAGGGCCGGACGGCCTACTCCTGCTCCTGGTTCTTATGTTAAGATCCTTACAGAAATAGGAGGGACAATAGTTTGGAAATAGATGCAGAAATTGCCACTAGGGTATAGTCAACCCTCAAACCTTTTAACCTAAGGTGGAGCCAGGGCTAGGAGACCAGAACTTACAGTTACCGTAATTCAGGAATTATAACTTTTGTATCAGTCAAGTTGACAAATGTGAGCAATTGAAATTGTAGCTCATGACCAGACTTCCAGACTGGTCATCAAATCTACACTTTGGGGAATCTCAATGTAAAGTTCATGAAATGCTAGTTATATAAAATGTGCACAAATATTTACCTTTCCTTCTGTAGTCTGATGGCTTTTGGAAAGCTCCTTTACCAACTTGTGAATTTTTCTATTTTAAAAAAAAGTTAATAAAATGCTTATTTTGTTAAGTCAAAATAATTGATGTTATTGGCTTTTCCCCTGCTATACCTGGGATTAATGTAATCAAAATTGTAGGCTGATCCTACGGAGATCCCAAAGAGTACAATTTTATTAATTTGATTGCTAACTGAAAGAAGTACCATTTTCAGGGAAAAAAAAACTCCACTTACACACAACATTGGGACAAACTAACACACTGTTTTCTCTCCAACCATAAGAAAGGTATTCAAAACTTAAACTTGATTTTTTTTTTAGAAAGTGCTTTTGTTGTGATAATTACCTTATCACATTGTTGGCAGTAACTGAATTACTGGTTGATATCCCTAATAATCTCTCTTTCAGAGCTGCAGTATAACTGCAGTTTGAGGTTTAACAGGTCTAAATCAAAATCTTGGCACACTTCAGGTCAAAAGTTAGTAGGCAATCTAATCCAAAGCAACTGTAGTTGCTTCAGAGAGATTTGACAACGAGTCATTACAATAACTGACAAAAAAATTAGTTATTATAGCTTATTAATCAGCCAGTCAGATAAATATTCTCACAATTAAGGTGATCCAGAACATATGCAAGAACTGAAATATTGCATCAGCTGTGGTAGGCACTATAGTTTTGCAAAAATTATTAAAACGGATGCTTCTTCCCCGATTATGTAATCTTGCACTGCTGCAATGTTGCTGGTTTTAAACTGCAAAAGTAATTTTGTCTTACTGAACTATACAGGGTAGTACTTAGAAATTTGGTCCAGATCCTTTACCAATTGTAGATCTTATTTACCCTAAAATACACAACACTCTCTCGAACTGTTTACATCTCCGTGAAAATCTGTCTACTTCCCACCTGATCAACTACAGTAATGGGTAGTCATAATATGAACATGCACAATTAGAAAACCATGGCTTAGCACAACTTTGACGTTCTTGCTTATTTTGATAGATTTTAAAACATTATTTGAAATCCTGTGTTATTAAGCAAAGATAACATGCTGGAAGTCAGAAATAAAAACAGAAAATACACACCAGGTCAGGCAGCAACTTTGGAGAATGAATCAGAGTTAACAGGTTAAAAACTGAAAGACTTGCGGGTGCTGTGAATCAGAAACAAGAATAGAAATTGCTGGAAAAGCTCAGCAGGTCTGCCAGCACCTGTGGGGAGAAATCAGAGTTAACGTTTCAGGTCGACAATGCTGAGGAAGGGTCACTCGATCCAAAACATTAACTCCGATTTCTCTCCACAGATGCTGCCAAACCTGCTCAGCTTTTCCAGCAATTTCCATTTTTGTTAATCTAGGAGGTTGATGACCTTTCATCAGAACTGGGAAAGGTCAGAGATGTTGTTTGATTTGGGCAAGGGTTAAATAGGACATGGACAAGTAGTGGTCTGTGATAGGAAAGAGAGGAGATTAATACATATTCTGATATTTTGTTGGATAAGAGCATTATAAAACAAAATGAACAATGTATTACTCTCCTGTGAAAGCATTGCATCCTTTAAGGCATCAATGTCTAATTGTTATTAAGTAAACAAAACATCAGGTTAATTGAAGTTTAATAATTTAGTGACAGTACTTTATTGAACTGGAAGCATGTTTCAGACTCGAGCGCAACAAATAAATTCCTTTATTACACAGTGTATGAGACACGTTAGGATTTCATATTAATAAATTGAAAAGCTACATAAATCCAGACTATGCTTTTGTTGATGAAATATTATTAAAATATAACAACACAAGTTTGAAAACACCCAATTCAAATTTTTTAAGTTTTATTCTAAGCCAGTGAACAAACCAAATGCTGCCTTGTGAAATACGAAGTACACAATAACAAATATAACATTACAGAAACACTGCTTGGCACTTGGGGCAAGACCAGATGCTGTTGGCACTAACTGGTGGTTTGGGAAGTCACTCCATAGCTGGATTACACAAACAGCACAAACTACATACGGCATTACTATTGAATGGAGCTTTACTTACAACTTGATGGCAATGTTTTCAAGTATGCTTTTCCAAGTTTCAAGTTCAAAGTTTGCAAATGATACTTCATTACGTTTACTTCCTTTGCAAATTATGAAGAGTCATCCAGCAAAAACCCTGTTTAAATAGTAGCTTGGGGCATTGTGACCAACAACTTCAACACATTACTGCTGACAGTGAGCTTCCAATGGACACAGACATTTATTTATCTTACATGTTGTATAGGCCAAGAAAAGAGAAGATAAATGTAATGTTTTAACATTTTAAACTCATAACAGAAGGAGCTTATACATACTCGCTGACTTCGGCAATATGTAAATGCCGCAATTTTACCCAAAGTTCGTCATCCTCATCCAAAAGGGCCTCGTTCATTGTGGTTTCATCCTTTATTTGGTATCTATTAAAATTAAAAGGACTTAAAGTCACGTTTTTATTTCAATAGGCACTGAATGCATTGCAATTCGGAGCACCACATTTCTTCCAATCTTACAAGTTTATGTCTATCACAGAGCTGCATATAAGAGACGTGAGGGTGAGAAAAACAAATCAAACGCCCTTCGTTTCCTGTATGACCAAGGATGAACAACGAGCCTTGTAATTTTATGCTTTAAAACCCATAATCACACACTAGCCTACAATACTAAGTCCAAAATGCAAAACACTACTAAGCCAAAAATTTCAACATTAACACCCTGCAACTTTTCAATGATACAAAAAGTACTTCATTTCTTTCAACAAATGTTGTCTGTGTCCACACATTTGGGTGGAATCTGTTTGAATTTTAGTTTATTTTTATTTTAGAAACATGCGTTGCATACAGATAATAAACACATGATCTTTTGTATAGGTTAAGTGTTAAGGATGAAACCAGTGCCAGTTTCTTTGAGCATTACAGATATTTTGCTTACTTTAAAATGCTGCATTTGTTTAAACTATTTCCCCGTGATTAAGTCTGACCCTGACAGACTTAAAATGCAAGTTTTAATTGACCAGGCTAAGTTTTTGAATGGAATTGATGATAAAATAGAATTCATAATAAATGCAACATTTGGACTAAGACACAAAGGAGACATAACAATTCTACAGAGATAGTAGGAACTGCAGATGCTGGAGAATCCGAGACAACAAGGTGCAGGGCTGGATGAACACAGCAGGCCAAGCAGCATCATAGGAGCAGAGAGGCTGACGTTTCGGGCCTAGACCCTTCATCAGAAAAGGGGGAGGGGAAGGGGGTTTTGAAATAAATAGGGAGAGAGTGGGAGGCGGATAGAAGAGGGATAGAGGAGAGGATAGGTGGAGAGGAAACAAACAGGTCGAAGAGGCGGGGATGGGGCCAGGAAAGGTGAGTGTAGGTAGGGAGTTAGGAAGGGGATAGGTCAGTCCAGGGAGGACGGACAGGTCAAGGGGGCGGGATGAGGTTGGTCGGTAGGAGATGGAGGTGCGGCTTGGGGTGGGAGGAGGGGATAGGTGGGAGGAAGAACAGGTTAGGGAGGCAGGGACGAGCTGGACTGGTTTTGGGATGCGGTGGGGGGAGGGGAGATTTTGAAACTTGTGAAATCCACATTGATACCATTGGGCTGCAGGGTTCCCAAGCGGAATATGAGTTGCTGTTCCTGCAACCTTCGGGTGGCATCGTTGTGGCACTGCAGGAGGCCCAGGATGGACATGTCGTCTGAGGAATGGGAGGGGGAGTTGAAATGGTTCGCGACTGGGAGGTGCAGTTGTTTATTGCGAACCGAGCGTAGGTGTTCTGCAAAGCGGTCCCCGAGCCTCCGCTTGGTTTCCCCGATGTAGAGGAAGCCACACCGGGTACAGCGGATGCAGTATACCACATTGGCAGATGTGCAGGTGAACATCTGCTTGATGTGGAAAGTCTTCTTGGGGCCTGGGATGGGGGTGAGGGAGGTGGTGTGGGGGCAGGTGTAGCACTTCCTGCGGTTGCAGGGAAAAGTGCCGGGTGTGGTGGAGCTGGAGGGGAGTGTGGAGCGGACAAGGGAGTCACGGAGAGAGTTGTCCCTCCGGAAAGCAGATAAAGGTGGGGAGGGAAAGATGTCTTTGGTGGTGGGGTCGGATTGCAGATGGCGGAAGTGTCGGAGGATGATGCGTTGGATCCGGAGGTTGGTGGGGTGGTACGTGAGGACGAGGGGGATTCTTTTTTGGTTTTTATTGCGTGGACGGGGTGTGAGGGATGAGGTGCGGGAGATGTGGGAGACACGGTTGAGGGCGTTCTCGACCACCGTGGAGGGGAAGTTACGGTCCTTGAAAAACGAGGACAACTGAGATGTACGGGAGTGGAATGCCTCATCCTGGGAGCAGATGCGGCGGAGGCGAAGGAATTGGGAATAGGGGATAGCATTTTTGCAGGAAGGTGGGTGGGAGGAGGAGTATTCTAGGTAGCTGTGGGAGTCGGTGGCAATTCTACAGACCATGTTCAAAAGGAAGTGAAACAGCAAAATTTGTCATTTCTGAAATTTTCTGCCAAGATTTCAACGTAATTGAACAAAATAATGATTTAGGCCCAAACTATCAATGCTTGGATTTCGGAAATCCTGTATGGTGGTTCAAAAATGCATTTACTCAAGAAAGTGCCCAACCCATAGAGGAAGCCAATCCTTCAGACCAGCGATACATTTTTCCTTAAATTGCGCCTATTCAGGAATGTGCAAAACATTCCACCCAAATGTGTGAACAGAGACATCTGTGGCTATATTGTCCATCAATGATGAGCTGGTGCTCGTCGTCAACTGAAATCTCACTAAAGGCCCGTTTCTCCTTTTGATATTTCAAATACCTTAAACACAGTTTAACCAAATCCAAACTCAGTTCATTGATCTTCCTTTTCACCAGAAGACTAAGGGCCAGGGAAGTTACTGTTTTGATACACAAGGGCATCAAGGGTAGTATTCCCTCTAACAAAAGGGCTCTTATGGCATGGTGATAGTGTCCCTACCTCTGGTCTGGGAGACCCAGGTTCAAGACCTGCCTGCCCCAGATGTCCAATAACAGCTCCAAACAGGTTGGTTATAAAGTACCTTCCCTCTAATTGTTTTTAGCTGCATTAGCCTCCAAAAGTCTGTGCTTGGCAGTGGCTTTCAAAACCAGAAGTCAATGCTGAGAATAGTTTTGGTGTGCCCACTGGAGTACACTGAAATCCCAAATGGCTGAACAATTGGCAAGGGTTTATATAATATAATTTATTTTATATAATCCCTACAGTGTGGAAACAGGCCCTTTGGCCCAACAAGTCCACACTGAACCTCAGAGCATCCCACCCGGACTCATACCCACTATAACCCACCTAATCTACACATCCCTATGGGCAATTCACCTAAGCTGCACATCTTTGGTCTGTGGGAGGAAACCGGAGCACCCGGAGGAAACCCACGCAGACACGGGGAGAATGTGCAAACGCCACACAGACAGTCACCCGAGGCTGGAAATGCACCCAGGTCCCTGGCACTATGAAGCAGCAGTGCTAACCACTGAGCTACCATGCTGCCCTAAGGCAGGGAAGAGGGTCTGTGACCACAGTCAGATTAGACTTGATCATCTTGAATGGTGGAACAGGTTCAAAAGACCAAATGGACTCTTCCTGGTCCAAAATTCCTAAGATCTGAGTGAAACCACAGACTGATCTGTTGCTGCAGCAACAATAATAAATGCAATAATCTTAAAACTATTTTCAATCAATAATCAATCACCAATGACACTGCTCAATTACACTGGATCCTGAAGATTTTACTCTCTCGCTCATGCAAATGACTGAATGGGAATTTTGATTCACCTCAGCAAATCTGTGGCAGGGTCCACTGCATGCTGGATGCATTTCTCAATTGCAGGCTTCACAAAAACTTCAAGCGGTAATATTTCCCAACAATTACAATTCCTATCACCCACCTCCTCAAACATAGATATTGCTAACGCAGCAGTACTGAACTGAAAAGGTTTTTTGATGCTTACCTATAAATATTATTTTCAATTGGAACCAGGTCATATGCCATTGCCTGGAAAGTTAGCTCATGCAATATCGTCGACACTGGGTCAAATCCACGGTCAACTATCAAAAGCTGTGACTGTGTTTTTCCCTGAAATGTTCCACAACCAAAGTTCAGTTATTAAGGTATAATTCAAATGTACAGTCAGGTAAATAAATTATCAACTCATCACCACTTTCCCCCATGCACTAGAATGTTAAGTCAACTTTCGAAAGGACTAAATGTGTGCAGTACGTACCACCCTGGCTCCTGCCTTGATCAGTTCAATTATACTTTGTACTATGTTAAACCAACACAATCAAATTAGCTGCAAGACTGGGGTCATGCCAATTTTCCAAGCACCAACAAAGGATCATAATGAGAAAACAGTCTGGGAAAATGTGTGTTTGGAATGATTTGAAAAATGACAACGGAGCCAAGTCACACTAAAGCTGTGATAGCCCCACACTGGGTGATGACCTGAGCCCAAGTAGAATCAAAAGACCAGGTGATCTCAAGCTGCAACAGTTACACCAGACTGCACAACTGCATGCCAAGAGGACTCCTATGTCACAAGAAACAAACCCACCGACAAGCTTGCTTCCACAGGATTACATCAAACCAAAGGCATTGAAATTGAATCAGAATTTCAGGGTTTACACATTTCCTACCTTTACATTGTATTGCTGGTCTAGTTTGTAATGTTCTGCCAACTTTTCCTCTACCATGTTTGCAAGATACTCTGCATTATTTTCAGTAGCCCTGGATATAATCACAAAAACATCAGAACAGAAATAAAATTTTGATCCAGGTCATCTTTTTACTGTAGCATAAGTGAGTCATGAATTAGAACCACAGAAGATTCAGTATCTTTGGAACCGATTACTGGAGTTTGGTATCTTAATAAATCGGTTTTTGCTGGGCAAATAACACTGCCACCACAATTTGTTCAAATTGCCTGCAAATCTTAAAAGATCAAAATAATATCAACACAAAAAACAGAACTGCTGCTGAAAACAATAGGTGAAAGGGATTGAGAAATCAAACAAGGTTGAAACACTAAATAAAAACAGAATTTTCTTACAATGGACAGCAAGTCAGTCAGCATCAGAAGGTGAAAGATGGTATTTTGAGTGCATGCTTTTGTATGTAATATTCTGCTCAATTATAGCCGATGCAGTATGTGTACTTAGCAGCCAGACTTTATTTCAGCACTGGGGATGTGAAGTTTGTCTTGACTATATCTTTTCAAAAGAAAGTTTTGCACTTTTATTGTACCTTTCACTACCTACACAACTTTACAACCAATTAAGTATTTTTCATGTCCAGTCCCATTGTCATGTAGGAAGGGTAGCTATCAATTTGCGCACAGCAAACGTCCACAAACAGCCACACAAGTTGTAGGATAATCTGACTTTGACATGGTGGTTGAGGGACAAATACTGGCCAGACCTCCAGATATAGCTCTTCTGCAAAAGTGTTATGGGAGCCACTTCAGAGGGTAGACAAAGCCATGCTTTGTATAGGCATTTGAAAAAGGCAGGACTCCAACAGTTCAGCTCATCCTTAGTACTGCAGTCAAGTATTAGCCTAGATCTTTGAGCTCAAGTTTCTGATATGAAGCTTGAACTCATGTTTCAGATTCAGTGTCAAGAGTGTGATTGACTAAGCTGTGGCTAATATGAAAACAGAAAGTGATGGAAATGTTCAGCAGGTTGGGCAGTATCTGTGGAAAGAGTGAACTAATGTTACAAGTCCAGTATGACTCCTCTTCAGAGCTGGTGAGAGTTGAAATGCGATGGGTTTTAGATATCTGTAATTAACTTGCTCAGAGATGATGCGGCACACCTATGCAGCAAGACATTATCTCTCGGCCTTCTGGCTCAGAGATAGCGACACTATCACTGAACCATAAAAGCCCTGTGATGGTTTTTATGTTGTTGACAAAGGGAGAAGGGTCAAGTGGAATAAAAGGGAGGATAAGGAACATGTTAGTGAATGGAGATATTAAACACGAAAGATATCAGGGAGATGGCCAACCACCTTTAGTCATGGTCTTCACTAGGCGAGTTCCAGACTGACAAAATGGATAACCTGTTCCAAAACTCTGGATATTACTCTTGGGCCACCTGCTGTGTGTATAGGCAGCATGGGTAGGTACCCTATGCTCAGACGTTCCTCTATCCCTATGAGGGAGGGCAGATATACAGTACATTATAAACACAGACCCATAGCTTATCAAGCAGCAACCGTTTCCCAAGATAGCTTTTGAATGCTAATATGAAGTACTCAAAAATATTTTCCCTTACTGTCCAAACATGCCTGTTTCTTAAGGTGCTGACTATGATTGTACCTGGTACTAATAACCATTCTTCATGTAAACCTTGACAGGGAACATTCACAGCAATCCTTAGCCTGTCCTTAACCATCATCCTTACAGGCAAGAATTCCACCAGGAAAACCTATCATCAGGAGCAGGCACATTGCCACTTTACCCCTCCTCGGCCAGGAATGCTGAAGCAAATGCTCGCCTACTTGAGGAGAGCTAAAAGCATAAAGGCTAATAGAACCATGGACATTCATTATATAACCCAAGAAATCTATTGAGAGCCATTGGAATTAGAGAAATAAAATGAACACCAAATAAACTGAACACCATCATCTGAATCCAACTGTTGCTATTGAACTCTGCTGGTTTCAGGTTATCCAAATTAACTAGGTAGGTACAGAAGCTTTGTGGAATTCGTGTTGTACACAAAAAAAGCTAGAAACCAAAACCTTTGATAATGCATTTTATACCCCTGCCATTCAAAGGCAACAACAAGCTCATATCTTTTTCTCATGTAATAAAAATGTCAAAATGGACCTGTAGTCATTTCCACGCTCCTTTCTGTATCGTACTCCAGGATTTTCATCCAAAGTTGCACATAATGTCACAATTTTATCAGCCACCATTTCCAATGTGGTTACTTTATCTTTTGACGTTGGACTATAGATAGAATGAAATGCATCCGGAATGTCAAAAGTGAACACCTGGTTGAAGATAGAAGAAAATTTTAATCAGGAAAGATCTAATGATTTTGATATCACTTTCATAAATGTCTAAGAGTTAGATGGTTTAAAAAAAAATCCAAATCTGGGTGTTACAAACATGGGGATGCTAAGTGAAACTAGATAAGAATCCAATGAAGTGCTAAGGTCAGTATGAAGGACTCTGCAAACAGTGGAAATGTACCATACAATTGGAATTAAGCCTATTTGGCAGATATTTTCAAGAAAGACTACGAAACAAACCCAATAATTACAGATTAATAAATCTTTCACCGCTACCCCTTGTACCCCCTCATCCGTCATGTTCCACCATAACCCCACACCACTTTTATAGCCACTCACCATGCATTCACCATAGGTAGGCCATATCTACCATATGGAGATGAGATCAATAAACGTCTAACAATTATCTCACTCGCACACAGTGGATACTGAAAAGCCTCCCATTCCTGAAACCCAATCAAAGTTTTTAAATCTCTAGTGGTCAACCTCCTTTAAAACAAAGTCTTCCATTCAGACCCAAGAAAAATCCTTGATCGATTCTCTTTAACTGTTAATAAATCTGTGAATTCATAACTCTTTTGATGAAATAAATGTAGCTTTTAAGAATCAGCCAAGCCTTCAAAATGACAACAATAGCCCTGTACAGCAGATGACCAACTGTCCCAGAATTTCCAGGATTTCAAGAACTTGGCTCAATATCATGTGTCCACTACATTCCAGCACGCTATTTGTCCCATAATTCTCAGGTGGTGCATGAGTAAACTGTGCAAGGCCTCATTTTGCCATTGCCTGGGAATCTTTAGAGCCTGTCTAAGGGCTGCTTTGCATATGTAACCCAGAGCTAGAGCCACAGCAAAACAAGTGGTCAGCACCATTCCCCTCCTGGCTTCAAAGGGGAGTCAGGTGGTGGGCAGTGGTCCAGCCTGTTGGAAGGGGCACTCATGCTCAAGTCAAAGGGATCAGGTCCAGGCAGCCCAGAGGAGGGGGATGATGACAGGAATGTCCAAAGTGTCGGGCATTCTGTGTAGGAGAAGCAGCAATCAGGTGAGGGGAAAGGAGAGGTGAGGTGGGAATGAGGGTGATTTTGGAATCTATACAGATCAGCCCCACCTGGAGATTGTGTTCTATTTTACCAACACCACACTTTAGAAAAGACACGAAGGCTTTGGTGATGGTGCAGAAGATACTCACGAGAATGATTCCAATGATGAAGGTTTGCAGTTATGGGGATAGACTAAAAAAAAAAATTGGTTTGTTGTCCTTAGAACGAAAGACTAAAAGATGTGACAGAGGTGATTAAAATTATATATGAAGGATTTAGATGAAGTAACCAAAGATAAATTATTTCCCGTTGTCAAAAAGTCAACAATAATGCTTGCGCTAATGCTTGGATGCTTGGATGCTTTGCTTTGTTCATCTTTTTTGCCTGGCTTGGACTGTTTTCTTTGCAGCAAAGAAAGCCGAGGGGGGAACATGATTAAGGTGTATCAGATTATGAGGGGTATGGACAGGGTAAGTAGGGAGCAGCTGTTCCTCTGGGTTGAGGGGTCAATCATGAGGGGGCATAGTTTTAGGCTAATGGGCAGGAGATTCTGAGGGGATTAGAGAAAAAAAGACCTTGAGGATGGTGGGAATCTGGAATGCATTGCCTGGGATGGTAGTGGAAGCCAGAAACCTTACAACCATTAAAAAAAAGTTTGGATGAGCGCTTGAAATATCATAATATTCGAGGATATAGGACAAGTGCAGGAAATTGGGATTAGCGCAACATTAGTGGTAATTGTTGTTGGTGCAGATTCAGTGTCGAAGGGCCTTTTCGGTATGACTCTATGACTCATAATTTAGCAGAATTCCCTTTTAGAAATCATATATTGGGAAAAATGAAAAGCAAATACACTACCACCTATAAATTCACTTGACACCAATGATGTATAAAATCAATAGAACGTTGGCTCTCTCAAGCGTACCCATTTTTAGAAATGTCTATGAGTCCTCCTTTTTGAACTTACAGGATTAAAAAGTTGGCATGCAGGTGCAATTTTGGAGTGTGGGTGGTATTAAGGCGCTATTGGGGCTGGGTGAAGTGGCAAGTGATAAGAGCCAAAGGGCCTACCATCCCATTGTTAAGCAATAGATGCATTAGAAATATTGTTTCTCCTCACCCTGCATTGTCATGTGCCAACTTTCCCTTGTAGGTCAAACTGCCCTGCTAAATTTAGGTAGAAATAGTAGGCCACTTTCATTTCCTAAACTGAGAGGATGACCTGCAAAGCACCTTTCAAAAATCTGTTCAATTTATGGATCTACGTTCTCAGTCAGATTGAAGGACAACAAAAATCTGCCTGCCTCCATCTACACATCTTGAGATTAAAGTGAAGAAAGAAATCATTGCATTCTTGTAATCAAAATCCTTGTAAAACCACCACTTCAGAATTCAACTGTGTCACATCCAAATTATGGCTGTACTTCATTTTTGCCAACAACGTAAAGCATCCACAGCTGTTACAGGAAACAAAAATGGTATGCGTCACAAATAAACAGCCAATATCTTATGAGTTCATACAAATGCCAGGAGCTCCTGTGGCACAGTGGGTAGGATTGCTACCTCCAAGTCAGCAGCTCCAGGTTCAAGTCCCACTACAGGGCTGGATGGTCAAGGAAGGTTTGATGGTAAGGTGGCAAAACAACTTGAGCGCCAACCTGCAAATCCTTCCAACATACAGCAACAGGTGAACATCAGGGCAGATTCCTAGCCAGTTAGTTGATGGGAAAAATATTGGAGCCTCACCATCACTATCTATCGTTCCACGTGACACCACATACAGGGAGTCCCTGATTTACAAACGTCCGAACATGAACACTCATACGAGATCATGTCCATAAGTCCAACCGTGTAATTTTAAAGACCTGCAGTGTGCTCCAACTGGTGTACAAATCAGCTTGCCTTCAGATTCCAGAATGGAACTCACTCACAACCCAGAGACTGCCTGTACCGTAGAAGAGTGTGTTGCTATAGCAATTCAGACTGTGTGGGAACCAATATGTTGGACGTTGAGTATGGATCATATTGGTGCTGTTCAACTGTTCATTCCCTGTTCTGGCTGGGGTGGATTTGGATTCTTCCGAAAAAGTATGATATTTGACTCAAAATCTCAAATTTCGTTCCTGGTCTCTAGAGATGCTGTCTGACCTACTTAACTTTACAGTATTTCCCATAACTAATTTGAAAAGAAAACAATGGGTTTGGTATTTTAGTTGGCTTAACTGATCACTTCTAAACAGTTGGGGGGAGGAATTTTAAACACAGAATTCTTTAATTGATTACAGGTCTCATCTTTTTTCTTTCCTAAGGAATGTCAGGAAGGACTAGTTCTTTGGGATGAGATTCAATAATAAACGCTATGAGCCAGACTTTCAGCACCCTAGGTACACAAAGCAGCAAGAATCCTAGTTGTCAAATAGTAACATCAACAGTAGCTGGAGCAGTTAGTTGATTTGAATACAGTGTACTTACTGAGCTATGTTTTTTGCACAGGAAGCAAATATCATGGTAACATTAAATAACCTGAAATGTTTAGTGTAACACATCCATACAAGGTTCGACAGCTTAAAGATAAATTAATAACCCATAGAGCCCTGAATGCAGCATCATACCAATTAGAACTTTAATGCTTTTCCGATTAAGAGCAACTGATTACTGTTTTGCCGAATGTCATGCACTTCCAAACGCATTCTCAAACTAAATAATCAGCTGCAATTAAAAATAATTAACAAATCTAAAAAGGTTTTAATTGAAACGTGAGAAAAATAAGCACAGATGCATTAATGCAATCCTATAATTAGATCTTCACCATGTTGTATGAAACCTTGTTGCACTCTTGGGTAAAAAGTGGAAGACATAACACTTTTCCATCCAAACAGCTAAAACAAAGCAGATTACTTCATGTGAAACAAGCACCACAACATTTGAACGTTTAAGCTATTGTGCACACAAATTTTTTTTAGTAGAAAAATGCTTATGAAGTACCTTAGATTCATATGCAAGAAAGGAAATGTTCACTTCTTTACAACGTTTTATGGCTTTGGTACATGTGGTCTTTAACTGACTGAAGAGGTTATCAGGACAATCTAGAATTTCAAAAAAAGATACTTCAACAAAACTAACCCTCTGTTTTTACTTCAGTGTTCATTAAAAAGTATTGCTTAATATAAACAGGATTAAACTGGGAACATCAATATAATCAAGGCAATGACTCAATATGCATCTACATCTGCAACTTCAGAGTTTAAACACCGAAGCCCAAAAGAAAATACAGATAGTCCACTTTACCTGACATCAACATATTAATTCAGTGGAGAGAAAGATACCAAAGATATGGTGCGGTCATACCCTAAGAATGACTATGACATCAAGTAGCTGCCTCAGCTTTTTGCTAAGCTATAGGCACAAAATTTTTGTTAGTTTAACTTTCTAACAGCTGCCCTCAAGCTGATGATATCTTAGAGCTTAGATCAAATGTGTTTCAGATGAAACACATTTTCAGGGCCAGCACGTCACCAACACATCATCACGCACATCAAAGCAGGTCAGACAGAACACAGGTTCCAGTATTCCCAGCTTTTACTGCTGCATGTGACATAACCTAACACACAGGTCTACTGTACTGTTATTAGTCTCACTGCAATAGGTTATCTCACCTTCAAGTCGCACTTGAACAAAGAAGCCCACGCTGCCTAGATTCCCAAAATAATGGACTGCCTCTTAGTTCTGTTTATGCAACCCTGTCATAAATATTCACCCCAACAACCCTAATAGGCATTTTATTTATAGAGGTGACATCTGTCTGCCAGTTCAGGGCCATGATTTCAGTCATGACAAGCAAGCCCTAAATGCTGACTCTTATGAGATAGCCCACTAAGCAAAAGATGGAGATTTAAAACACATTTCTATACAAACCACAGAAGTTTCAACATATTCCTGACTAGACAAGACTGAACTGATGCCAGTGTCTCTGGCTGAAATGCTGAAGCACACCTTACTTCCCAAGGAACACCTTTTCAAGTGTTCACTGTAGGTAAAGACCAAAATAAATAGATCAGCAAACTAACTGGCTTATCTGCATAAACTTCACATACACACTTCAAAACTCTGGGATCACCTCATGTTATTTTGCAACAGAGTATTCGTTTCTCGTGTGTTTCATTTATTCTCACAAATAGATATTCAGCTAAAAGACACCGTGTGTATAATAATAGATATTTTGAGAGATCACCTGGTAGCTGGTCCTCATCCAACACTGGCCTTGCTGACACCAGAATGTGCTCCTTACAGGTGCAAGCTTATCCGATCTCTAATTAACCCAGCAAGCTTTTGCCTCAGTTCAGGATACCCCACTGGAAATTTCTTTCGCAATGCCAGGCTTCATATTAAATTCTGCATTAGGTGGCAAGAGCAAGCTTCAAAACATACTGTCTGCCTGTTTAGTGACAGTTCAGTTCCCTAATTTTGACATTCTGTAAAATTACTCTAGATGTGAAATGGCCAGATGATCATAAGGCAGGCCTTTGTGACTCCCTCCCAGCCTTCCTTGGTCACTGTGCCAGTTAAGGGTTGCAGGATACATACTTCAAAAATGCAACAGTCGCCTGGTTCACTATGGGAATTGCATACATCTTCTGCAATATCAAAGTAAGGTCCAACTTTCCAATCTGTCCAACTATTTATCAAAGCTTAGTGCAACTGACTCAACGTATTTATATCACAGCATTGAGCATAAATGGAGTTCAGAGTAAATCCTTCCTTGGTGTTAAAACTTTAGATGCAGAACATTAATCATAAAGACAATAAAAACATTAATTTTCACTTATTGTTACTATAAGTCGCTGCGTGTGCCAGCTAACCTTAGAATGCTGGTCTTTCATGAGAAAATGTATTAAAGTATTTCTGGTCATCCCAACTTCCTGCTCGAATAATTAATACCTCCAGAAACAATATGTTCCCATACACAAGCTTTTACAACGCACAATGTTTTAGCTTCATTGGACAATGATCACCGATGACCCAAACGCCAGATCTTTCTTTAAGCGCATTGAGACTTCTTTTTAAAGAAAATGTCTACATATGCATAGTCACTTTAAAAGGGACAAATTCGCACATAGCCCACGCAGGAACCTTTCAGTTGTTGTGTGATCGATCAGCTTAGACGGGACACTGATCATCAGCTGATGATTTAAATTCATCCAAAATATCATCATTCAATAGAACCGAATTCACAAACCTCACCTATTCCTATTTTGCTTACATGTTTGTGTCAACCTATTTATTCTAAAGAAAGCATATTTTGTTCGTATAACTTTGGTGGCAAAAGCAGCTGGTTGGGTGTAAATGTTTGCTTTACTGAAAAATTAAAATGTGAATGGCAATTTGGAGTAACTGTTAAACTTTAAGAAAGATAGGCACAGTCTTAGCTGTGCAGGCCTCATACAGATCGAATATCAAGGCTGATCAATATTTCAACCACAAAAACAATACGTTTTTTTAAACATTTGGAACATAGGAAATACACCACAATTCGAGCACACACCTGACTGTTCCTTTGACACTAGTAAAGCAGAACACACTGGAACTAGGGAAGAGAGCCCAAAGTTCAGCTCTTGGAGCTGAATAGATAGCCCTATGGTTCCATGGCAGCTATGTATAAAATTTAAATCCACACTCCTACTTCTCTGCATATGTATCTCACATTACTGGCATGACTAGATTTTTGAGCTCTAATTTAGAAATTAACCACTACTGAGCAATAACATAAAGAACAGCCCTTCCCAAGCACCCAGGCCCACAAAATGTAACCAACAAAGACATACTGATGCATGCAGGCTCCAAAGTCCCTGATATTGCTAAAATGGAGTAATGGGCAAGCCTGAGTCAAGGCACATACTCTGTAGCGCACTGCCACAATTATTTTAGAAAGGAAACACATTGAATAACAATAAAGGTACTTACAATCAGTGAAGTAAATGTAGGCTGCCTTATACTTGTAGGAATGCTTCTTTTTGAAGTCATTTATTAATGCACTGACTGACTGCAAAGTAAAAGAATAGACGGTGACGCAAAGATTGCCTTTTAAATACAAATAGTTGAACACATTTTTCTTCATTCATAATAAAATTTTCCCAAGGGAGAACAACCATTTCAATTCTGAAGTTAGAACAAGCTCAAGAAAAACTTTTCTTCATACTTGCTTAAGGAGACAGGATTTAAGTCAGTCTTACATCTTGCTTACCTAGAGGTGTGGTGCATAGCTAACGAAGCGAGCTGCACAGAATAGAGTGAACAAAGAACAATACAGCACAGTAACAGGCCCTTTGGTCCTCCAAGCCTGCGCCAAAACATTTTGTCCTTCCATATTAAAACTATCTTCACTGACAGGATCTGTATCCCTGTATTCCCCTCCTATTCATGTATTAGTCCAGGTGCCTCTTGATTGCTGCTATTGTGTCTGATTCCACCACCTCCACTGGCAACGCGTTGTAGGCACTCACCATCCTTTGTGTGAAAAACTTGCCTCGCACATCTCTTAAATGTTCCCCCTCGCACCTTGAACTGTGTCCTCTAGTAATTGAGCCCTACATCCTGGCGAAAAGCCTCATACTTTCCACTCTATCCATGTCATTCACAATCTTATAAACTTCTATCAGGTCACCCCTCAACTTCCTGCCTTCCAATGAAAACAAACTCAGTCGATCCAACCTTTCTTTATAACCAAAATCCCCCGTACCAGGCACCATCCTGGTAAACCTTTTCTCTACCCACTCCAAAGCATCCACATCCTTCTGGTAGTACGGTGACCAGAACTGTACACAACATTCCAAATGTGGCCTAAATAAAGTTCTATAAAGCTGCAGCATGACTGGTCTATCCTTATGCTCATTGGAAGGGGCACTGAAGGTAGGCATGCCACAGGCCTTTTTTACTACCACCTTCGGTGATCTGTGGACCTGCACACCCAGGTCCCTCTGCATATCAATACTCCTAAGGATTCTGTCATTCACCATACAATTTCCACATGTACTTGACCTCCCTTCCAAAATACATCCCCTCACATTTTTCTGGATTAAACTCCACCTGCTATTTTTCTGCACATGCCTCCAACTGATCTAAATCCTGCTGTATCCTCTGACAATCCTCCTCACTATCTACGATACCACCAATCTTTGTATCATCCGCAAACTTACTAATTAGACCAGATACGTTTTCCTCCAAATCATTTACATAGACCATGAACAGCAGAGGTCCTAGCACTGATCCCAGTGGAACACCACTAGTCAGAGTCCTCCATTCCAAAAAGCATCCTTTCACCGCTACCCTCTGTTTCCTATGACCAAGCCAGTTCTATATCCATCTTGCCAGCTCACCCTGATAGCATGTCACTTCACCTTTTGTACCAGTCTGCCATGAAGGACCTTACCAAAGGCTTTACTGAAATCCATGTCCACAACATCAACTGATTTTCCCTCAATCATCTTTGTCACCTCCTCAAAAAACTTTATCAAGTTAATGAGGCATGATAACCACCCACCCGCACGCCCACAAAACCAGGCTGTCCATCACTAATAAGTCCGTTTGCTTCTAAATGCATATAGATCTTTTCCCCAAGAAACTTGTCCAATAATTTCCCGACCACTGGCGTGAGGCTCACAGGTCTGTAATTTCCAGGATCATCCGTGCTACCCTTCTTAAACAACAGGACAATATTGGCTATTCTCCAGTCCTCTGGAACCTCACATATGGCTAAAGAGGATACAAAGATGTCTATCAATGCTCCAGCAATTTGTCTCTTGCTTCCCTCAATAGTCTGGGATAGATCCCATCAGGACCGGGGACTTATCTACCTTAATACTTTATAAGACGCTCAACGTTTCTTCCTTTTTAATAGCAACTTGGCTTAGAAACTCAACACTCCCTTCCCCAAGGTCATCCTCCAGCAATTCCGTCTCTTTGGTGAATACCGACAAAAGTATTTGTTTAGGACCTCACCTACCTCTTCTGGCTCCACACGTAGATTCCCTCCGTTGTTCTTGAGTGGGCCAACCCTTTCCCTGGCTACCCTCTTGCTCTTCATATATGTTTCAAAAGCCTTGGGATTCTCCTTAATTCCATTTACTAATGAATTTTCATGACCCCTTTGAGCCCTTCTAATTCCTTGTTTAAGCTCTTTCACACTTTCCTTATATACTTCAAGGGCTTCATCCGTTCCCATCCTCATGGACCTTATGTATGCTTCCCTTTTTCTTTTTGACTGAGGACATAACATCCCTGGTTATCCAAGATTCTCGCAACTTGCCATACCCATCCTTCATTCTCACAGGCTCCTGAACTCTTATCAACTGCCATTTAAAATACTCCTACATATCCGATGTGGATTTACCCTCAAACAGCCGCCTCCAATAAAAATTCTCCAGTTCCTGCCTAGTATTGTTGTATAAAGTTTGAGAAGATTTTTAGCTCAGGTTGTCTACAATCTAATATTGTTGTAGTTCTCCTTACCCCAATTTAACACATTCGTCCAAGGACTGCTGTTATCCCTATCCATGACCATCTTAAAACTCACTGTATTACAGTCATTACTTCCAAAATGCTCCCCCACTGGAACTTCATTCACTTGATCAGGCTCATTTCCCAAAACCAGGTCCAGTATAACCCCTTCCCTGGTTGGACTGTTAACATAATGTGTCAAGAAATCCACCTGAATGGTCCTTACAAATTCTGCCCCATGCAAGCCCCAGTCAATATAGGCGAAGTTAAAATCATCCACTAAAACAACCCTGCTGTTTGCACATCTTTCCAGAATCTGTCTACATATTCTCTCCTCTATCTCCCGCTGGCTGTTGGGAGGCCTGAAGTAAACCCCTAGCATTGTGATTTCACCTTTCCTCCTCCTGAGCCCCACAAGCCTCGCTGCACAAGTCCTCTGACGTACCCTCCCTCAGTACAGCTGTGATATTCTCTCTTACCAGTAATGCAACTCCCCCACCCCTTTTCCATCCCTTTCTATCCCACCTGAAACATCTAAAACCTGGAACATTCAGCTGCCAGTCTTGTCCCTCTTTCAGCCAAGTCTCTGTAATCACAATAATGTCATAGTTCCAAGTACTAACCAAAGCTCTAAGTTCGTCAACTTTGCCTATTATACTTCTCACATTGAAACACACACATTTCAGACCACTTCCCCTTGCTCTTTTCAGCAATGTTTCCCTGCCTGTTCTTGTTCTTCATAATGTTTGCCTTGGTTTCTACCTCTCCCCCAAATTTGGCATCTACTGCCCTGATGAAAAAAATTTGCTAGAAAAATCCTTCATGAAATGCCCTGAGATTAACTCCCTTAGCTGATTTTTGGTAAAATTCAGCCCAGACCTAACCTTTTAAGTTAAATATGACTTCTTCAAAAGTCATTTATCTGAGTTGTTTCAAAGCCATCACACAAGATCCTGTCAGTACCAAAATAAAACTGAACAATTTCTTCATGCAGAACTGCCCAACTCCTTTCAATGGATATGTTTAACACAATCAGCAAAATTACAAACATAGAAAAAGTGACACACAGAGTACCCTATATTTGACAAAAAAACACTAAATTAGCTATTTATCAAGGTCAAAAGGAAGCTTTACAGAAGTAGAAAATTCAAAATTATTTTCATGCCTTTATAAAACAGAAGTCCAGCAAAGATGTTTAAGAGTTGGCATTGTGTGAGTGTCCTCAAAATTCACCATGTGGCAAGGCCTTTATCCTACCACCTGGAGAGGTGCTAAGCTCCCAAAGAGTGTCAGGTAAGGAGAACCACAAGATTCACCACAGCCTGCATCCCACCTCCTAGCAGCTTGTTACAAGTGAGCAGAGACAAGCCCATTGGAGAATGTAATCATTGATAGTAAAAGACGGGAACAGAATATTTATAATGGTGCACTATTCAACCAGTGATTACATTTTCATTACACACTGTTTATAAATCAGCAACTGGGTCAGAAGACAAGGTGAGAAAGGTTACTACACCAGAAGTGTGCAAAGTATGAACAATCAAAATGTCATTAAATATAGATTGAAACCTTGGGAGAAACTAATATTAAACTTCCAGCCAGAACTGTAAAAAACCATTAGCTACTGTACCATGAAAACATCGAGGGATAGTGCTTCTTAAAGGAATGGGACAAGTCACAAACCTAGAAGCCTGTTGAGTAATGGGTAGGGGGCAGATACATAGATAATATGACTGGTTGGAGGTGGGTTAGAGTGATGGGTAGGGAAAGGCTAGTTTGGGTTGGGAGTATTGGAAGTGGGGAGGTGTTAAATCAGGTTGGCAGAGGTGTCATCACACTGGTGAAGGGTTCTTAGTTACCCAGGAGTTAAAAGCAGGTTTTTAATCCCTTTACAAAACAAAAGAACATCAGAAACAAGTTCTGAGGAAGGGTCACTCGAACTGTAACAGTAACTCTAATTTCTCTCCACAAATGCTGCCAGACCTGCTTGATTTTAATTTTAATCCCTTTAACTTTTCCTGAGTAACTATTTAACCAATTTAATCAGAACTCCCCTCGTCACTGACTGTCACTCAAGAGTTGGAGACATTTAGGAGGAGTAATTACCAGACATAGGGTAATTACCCACAGCAATTTGAAACTTCTCAAGCAATGCTCCTGTAGTCAGGGTCAGGACGTCTGAGGGGTCACACATGTATCTTTCAGGATGCAGAACAACAACCATCTACCCCAGTCAGGAGATCGGGCCATGTTATTATAAGTATTCGTAAAAATGTCTCTCCTGCACTGGCCCATTTAGGAGTGAACATGTTCAGCAGGGGCAGTGAATATAAATATTCTGAATTTTGGCTCTTAAGTACTGTATCAGACGAACACGCACCCACCACCGCCGCCGCCACCACCACCAATTCCCCCCCACCCCGTCCCCGCAGGAGACTTCCTAATTTATCCTAAAAATGATACCTTTTCTGTTGGAGTAATGAAGTAGATAGCCTTAGAGTCTGGAACTGGCTCACGGCTCTTATGTAGATCTTCAACGACTGTGAAAAGAAATATTCGGAGAATAGATCAAGGTTCTACAAAAATCATAAGTAACTTCTATGTCATGAGCAGAATTAGAATTGTCTGTCAATATAAACCATGTGAAATCATATGCCAAGTTATTCAACCTGAATCTCTGCAGCCACTATCCTGTTAGTCCTATGGGCACTAGACAGATGGCCATGACAGGATAGACACTCTCCCAAGGGTCAATACCCTTCTTCACACTTACTGTAGAAGATAACAAAATGGTCATTTGGACCAAGTATCTAAAGAGTGGCAAAGGGTCATACCACAGCATGCATCACCAGCTCCAGGACATCAGGGGACACTGGACTGGAACAAACTGATATGCAGCACATATTAACAGTACTTATAAAAGTTAAGAACATAAAGAACTAGGAGGAGTAGGCACTACAGGTCCTCGAGCCTGTTTCACCATTTAATACAATCACGGCTGATCTCATGTTGGCCTCAACTCCACTTTCCTGCCTGCTCCCAATAACCTGTTACTAACTAAAAATCTGTTTCCTCCTTAAATTTATTCAGGGTTCCAGTGATCACCGCAATCTGGGGTAGTGAATTCCACAAATTTGGGAGAAGTAATTCTCCTGCATCTCTGTTTTAGATCTGTCACTCCTTAGCTTAAAACTATGACCTCTCATCCTAAATTGCTCTACAAGGGAAATCATCTAGTCTAAGTTTACTTTGTCAGTTCTGTTTAGCATCTTGTATACTATTAGGCCTGCCAAATCTCTCCTCATAAAACAAGCCTTTCATCTCTGGAATTAATCTGGTGAATTCTCTGAACTGCCTCCAATCCAATTATAACCTTTTTTGAAGTAACAGGACCAAACATGTACACAGTAGGCCAAAGGTAGTCTTACAAATGCCTTGTACATTTGCAACATTTCCCAACTTATTCCTGCTTAATACAAACAGTTCAAAACCGATTTTTGTTTGTCCTTCTGCAGGCATTGTGTCAACACAAATCATAAACCCAGAAGAAAGGAACATTTCATTCATAGGTATTGACCTCATGCAGTTTACTGGATCATTTAGAAGGGATAAAATGGACTCCTCTGCATCTCTTTACTGGGTAAGAATACCCAGAAAACAATTTGATTTCCTTCATGGCAGGTATAAAAAAGATATAATTTCATTTTTATTTACAACCACAGATATCAACCCGACAACCGCTCAACGAAAAGTCATTGAACTCTAAATCTTAACTCTGTTTTTGTCCCTCCAGATATTGCCAGACCTGAAGAGTTTCTCCAACAACTTCTGTTTTTACTTCAGATCTCCAGCATCTACTTGCTTTTATTTAAGTAGTCTAGTTTGTTAGTGTTGACTGCAAGAGGAACCTTGCCCAATGCGCTGGGAGAAGTATCTGTCCTTTGAATAATGTCACAACAGGAACTGGCAGATTGAGCTGAAGTCCCTCTGAAGGGCAGCATTGCTGATATCATACCACTCCTTCAGCACAGCACGCAAAAACAATTCACTAAGACATGCCACTAAAATAAAACTATATCCAAACAAGACAACGCTCAGCAAGGGTCTTAAAATGAGGGCTATTTCTCCAGCAGAGGTGTGCCAGCTTGAAGAACATTTTAAAAATTTGATTTGTTAAAATCAAACACACACTTCTGGCACAAAAGAGATAACTTGCAATAAGCACACATTCATTTTTTTTGCAAATGATTACAATCAGAATCACTGGTAGGTCAGAAACACTGCCAAAATGCTTCAACATGTATCTGATTTAGTCAGCACGTGAGATAATATGGCATTGTCTTTGTATGGCTACTCGAATTCAACTTTCACTTTGTTCTGTCTTTCCTTAAACTTAGCGCCCTTTTTATAAAGAAGGTAGGTGTGTCGACAGATTAGGATCACTGCCTTATGTCAGGAAAATAACATTCCCACTTCAGACACTGATTTTCCCTAGCTGCAAAAGGTGCAATCGATCTACTTTGATGACAAGTTCAACTGTTTAACAAATAATCCTGGATCACTTTTATTCTAAAATTGAAAGTTTAATTTATCCAGCTTCTGTTTGCCTTTTCTCTTCATTTGCACAAGACGAATGAGAAGTGCTGCAGACTCAAGAACAACCAGTGCAGGCTGATTGAGGAAGAATATTTTGCTTAACTTTCACTTGCTAAGTAAAATCAGTGAATTGCAGAATTGAATAGACAGAATCAATTCAAAGATTGCCATATAAACAGTGACGGTGGAAATGCTCAGCAGATATGGCAACATCCAGAAAGGCAGGCAGAGAGGCAGCCAGAAACATACAGTTAATGTTTCAGTAGCCTTTCATCAGAGCTGAATTTTAAAAAAAAGGATGTAACAGATTTCAAACAGATACGGAGGCAGGTAAAGTGAGAAGAGAACTAAGTGAAGAACACAAGGAAAGGTCTGTGATAGAAGGGAAGGCAAAGGGAATAAATGATGGTGCAAGGCAAGAGGTAATGATAAATGGGACAAGTAAAGAAACAGAAGAGCAGCCTAGGGAAGGTGTAAAAATCAAAATCACCGTCAACAGCTGTTATTCAGAAGAATGGGAGGGAAGTTGTTGAGATCAAATACTGAGCCTGAAAGCCTGTTACATGCAGAGATAGAAAAATACAAACTGGGAAATTAAAAACAAAAACATGAGCAGAGGAAGGGTTAAAAAAAAACAAATTTTTAAAGCAGCTGTCATGTGTCTTCTTTCACAGCCAGGGAATAGGTGAGTTTATTAAAGAAAAGGCAAGTATAATAAAGAAAATACAAAATTATGCAGCACGTAATCATAAAACAATAGAGTTCTTGAATTAAGTACATACCACTGATCCCTTCAGTCATAAGATTAGACATCTTGCAGCAAGAGGAAAGTAGCTTTGTGGTGTAATGGTCCAAAATAAGTATCTGCAAGTAAAAAAGTGACAGCTTAACTATCTTGCAATGCAGTTTGCTTTAACTTCAGCTAGCAAATTGTTGAAATAGGTAACAAGCATAGCACTATGTAAATTCACTATCTTTAGACTGCAGTACTCTTTCACGGCTTTGTGTTTTTCTCCTCTTAGAAAGATCAACTCGCATTTAACTGTGGCTCCATAGAAACATGTTATCTTGAAATGGGTACTGTTACTGTATTTCTCTCAACAATGAAGATGGCAAACTGTTGACTAGTGGGGACGGTGACTGCCCTTATCCTGACAATTCACGATATCCCCTTAAACATATTCCAAAAGGAATTCCTGGAAAGTGATTAGGAGTCGGGGTTCAGTCAGATTTCTCACCCATCCTGCTGCAAAGAGTTAGTTGACAAAGTCATTTTTGTCACAAAAGCTAAGATCAGCTAAAAACAGGGCAAAGATCAAACTTAACATCCTCCAGTGGTTCTCAGTAGGCTTATTCAGCGCATTGGTACAAATATGCTGGGGGGGAATGAGCCTCCACCAGACATCAGAAAAGACAGATCACTACCATTCCCTGGTGTCAGATGTTATATATAGTATATAAAATTAATGTAGCAAGCAGACTTGCTTGAACTGATTGCATGCAATCTACAACATCTCAAGTTCAAAGCGTTTTGAATCAAAATCCTTGAACTCCTTTCCTAGTAGCACTGTGGGCATACTTCCATGCAAGGCCTGCAACAGTTAAAGAAAGTGCCTTACCACCGTCTCCTCGGGATGATTAAGCAATTGCTGGCTTAGCCAACGATGCCTACATCCTGTTAACAAATTTTTTTGCAGTATACTTGCAATACTAGTAATTACAACTCTGGTCTGCTATTCAACCCTGAATCTTTACTGTGATTATTATTGCAAGAGAAGGTATAAGTTAGCAGAACAAAAGGCAAGATACACTAGATACCACCAATCAAATTAGAACAGAAAATGATGGAAATGCACAAAGCGTCAGACATCACCGTTAGAGAAACGACAGCAAGTCATTGAACACTAACTGTCTCTCTTCACACAGCTGTTGCCTGGCCTGCTAAGGATTTTGACTATTTCCTGTTTTATATTATAAATATCAGAGGGTTTCAAATATCTAATGAAAGAAGGAGATTAAAAAGAAGAAAGGATAACAGTAGTAAGTAACAACTTCATCGACTGTGTGGTAAATAGATGTATGTCTCACCAATGTTTTTTTGAATTGGGTGCGTCATTTTGAAACAGAATTAATCACATTCCATGACAAAGAGTTTCCATTATAAAAGTATTGGATAATTCATAAAGTATGCACTCTAAATCAAAGATAACAAGGTGTAGAGCTGGAAGAACACAGCAGGCCAAGCAGCATCAGAGGAGCAGGAAGGCTGACGTTTCGGGCCTAGACCCTTCTTCACTCACTCTAAATCAAAGCTGAATTAAGCAAATGCAAACAAATCTCCATTATTCTCTCTGCTCAGTGAACTTAATTAGCCACGTTTTCAATTGATTCACAGTCCATTAACACATGTTTCTCACCCTGCTGTCTCTGCACTCGCCTGCCCAGGTTATTGAATTCAATGCTATTCTATGGGTCTGGTTCATTTTTGTTACAAACTCTAAACACAGCAGCAAGTGCAGGAAAACAATTCAAATCTGCCAACTAATACGCCTCTCACAATCTTTGTCATTCCCTTCAATCTTTGTTTGTGAAATGTTTAATGTTACACAAAAACAATGTTGAATTCGTGGATTGTCACAAGAGCCAAGAATCAAGACAGTTCATAAAATGTATCTTCACTGAGATGCTGGAAGAGGCATTCAAGACTACGTATTCAGATTTGACAAGAAGCAATAGAGACATTTCAAATTTCTTTGCAGTACAAATTTAGATCCCTGCAGTTACCAAGAAAAAAAGAACTTGAAGCTTCATATCTTCCATTTTGAAACATCCCGAAGTTGTTTGCACAATTAATTACAGTGCAATAACTGTTGTTAATGATTTAACTAGACCATGGTACAATCAAATTATATAATTTAAAATGACAAGGTCAAAAAGTCATACGACACCAGGTTATAGTACAACAGGTTTATTTTAAATCACAAGCTTTCATAGTGCTGTCCCTTCGTCAGGTAAAGTGCAATTTAAATGACTGCAGAATATGTACCCCCGAATATGTACTTTTTTCAATTGATACAAAATTAATCCACACATTTGCAACCCATTACAAATTTGTGTTTTCCAACTATATCTAGATAAACCAAGACTGACAGTTTAAAAACCAAAAGAACTGCGGATGCTGTAAATCAGGAACAAAAACAAAGTGGCTGGAAAAGCTCAGCAGGTCTGGCATCAGCTGTGAAGGAGAAAACAGAGTTTCGGTTCCAATGACCCTTCCTCAGAACTCAAGACTGACAGTTTACTCTATTTGGGTTGGATAGATCGAAGATGATTCCTGTAGGTGAGTAGCTCCTCCCTCAATGTCTCATTTGATAAGGTTATCAATGCTCTGTATTTTATGATATTCTATTGGTATGCACACAGCAGATATTACTAATACACCAAAAAGGTTTCATTTCATTCAAGTGGTTTTAAAAAAAAAGCACAAGGTTCCCTGAAAGATCACAAAATTTCCAAACCCTTGTTTGATCTTCCTCTGAAGAAACTTTAAACACACAGTTTTGATCTCTAAAAGGGAGGAGCAGACAGCCCCCTGCTCCACTGTTGCCCTTGACTGGTCATCCAAGATCTGTACAGGATGACTTACCCCTCCTCATTCAGCACTACAGATACTTCAAATGTTGCACAGAGGGGGAATGGGGACCCAAATTCAATCCATCCATGATGCTACATGCTTAGTTGATGTACCAGAGTCAACAGACAGTAACTAGGTCGTCAATTACTTATTTTTTAGAAAGTGCAAAATCATGCAAACATGTTCAAACATTAAATCATTTTTAAATATGAACAATCAAGTCCTTGCCTTACCTTCCATTCTCCTTCTGTCCTACAGTCCTCCAATACATGTTTCTTGATCTCTGCAAGGAAAAAATATACAATTCAAACTTTTTTCATCAAATCGTCTCATAATTCACCAGCTGAGCTCTGGATGAGAATAAGTCCTTTTTTCTTTATTTTGTTTCAAGTGCTTCCAAATGCATTTTCTATAACATCTGAAATAGGGCATTTAAACATAGGTTTATAAAGTAAATTTTTCTGGAGCCATCAGCCAGTCTTCATCGCTATATGATCATTTCTAATCAAAACCAATCATTTGCGCACTGTTTACCCGCAATGCTCAATCTGTGTCTAATCACAACTGAAAGAATGAGGTCCCATGCAGTTCAGAAGATTATTTCTGATAACTTAATTAATCAGCCAATGGCTAATCATATTGACCACAGTGAAAATTTTTGTGTCTGCAAAAATGCAAAAAATCATGATGTTTACATAATTTATCTTTAATGCAGAAGAGCCTCTTCTGTCTGAAAGGGTTAAATTACCAACTCTTGAAAATAATTACTTGAACATGAGGTGAATGTTGATGCTCGTTCTTATAACCAATTCATATCAGTCATATACAAGACAGAAATTCTGTCAATTACAACTAATCGTGGAAGGAAGATCCAATATTTATAATTATAATAAATTTAGATATTGTATATACAGAGATGATATGTTTGTTATATTTGGATCCAAGGATGCATGTAAAAAACGTCATAGTGGGCTCCATCCTGTGTTCAAATTTATATGTGAAACCAAACAGTACAATCAGCTTCCTTCCCTCAGCTTACTAGTTGAGACACTGGCTGGGTTCTTTAATACTGCCTGAGAACCTACCTTCACTGGTCAGTTTATAATACACCAAGATTGGCCTTATCAACAACCTTACATGAGCCATTTGTTCACTGCACAAGCTTGATGCTAATTAGGGCATATCAAAGCCATCTGCAGGATAATGGCTACCCTATTCAGATTATTTCTAGCCGTTTACTGCATAACCTCATGGAAAGCCTAAAATGATTACTTTCGGTCCTGTAAAGTGCCCACTATGTCTCCGATTACCCTGGAAGGAATCGTATCTCAAATATTTGAGCATTAGGTGAAGCTAAGCTGATTCTAGCTACTACACTATAGGAATGGTGCGTACCACCAATAGAATGTCACCAAATTAAAAAGACATGCTGCTTATGACATAAATGGGTAATGTGGTGAATGAATTTCAGTGCTGGTGTGCTGCCAAATATGTACATAGGTTAGTAAATTGTATCAAACAGCAAATCTCTTCAGCAGGTTGCAACAAGCAGGTACTGACAACTCAACAAGCACACTTGCAAAACACGCAACAGGCAACATTAGATGGGATTCTGCTCTTTGACAACACTCCCTGATTAATATCCTTGCACATTCAGGAATAAGCATTAAATCAATGAAGCATTGTCAGTAGGGTTCAGTGTGGTGCACTTGTGCATGCTGGATGTTAGCTGCTTTATCCTACTTAGGGCCCTGTTCTTTCTGCTGACAAAGAATACACATACACACTGCATTTGTGTCAACTCAAGAAAATAGGTAACAGCCACTCGCTTGTCAATTTCTTGGGGCAATGCCGTGACCAATCAGAGCTAACCTGTCCAGCTTAAAATTTTAACAGACCCTGGCTGTTGTTTGTCAATCAGCATTAATGGGTGCGTTCTTCATGGCAAAGCCTCTAATTTCAATGAATCCAATTAACACAGTGGCCACATTCTATTCAGAATTATCCATTAACATCCATTTGGTATTTCCTCATTTTGAAATACTTTACGATGTCAGGGTTAAAACTTCAAAGTAATCCAAAGACTTCATCTTGAATTCTATATTTTCTTTATATTAGGCAACCTGATCTATTTCAGTGTAATTACCGTGTTGGAGTTTCTCAAACTGAAAAACAACGGAAATGGAGTAAGGCACAGAAAAGCAGTTTCTAGGCATTACTGTATAAACATTAAACACTATTTTACATCATTGATGTAACTTGCACACCCACACACACAAAAACAATACATTTCTCACCTCCGTAAAGTCCTTTGCAGGTGAGACACAGATGTTTTAACAGGCATATGATTACTTGTTTGGCCGGAGCTAGACAGGAAGGAGGGGGTGGATGGCTCAGTTAGCTGCACAATTGGTTTGCTATGCAGTGGCACCAATAGCACGTGTTGAATTCCCACACTGGCTGAGATTACCATGAAAGAAGACTTCCTCAACTTTTCTTCACATACCAAGCTTGGTGATCCTCAGGTTAAACCACCAGTTGCTTCTCTCTCTCTCTAATGACAGAATAACTCTACAGTCCAGCAAGACTATGGCAAATTTACCTTTACAAGAAGGGTGTACACTCCAGAGAGTACAGTGGAGACTTATGCGAAGAAAACTTTTACAAATGAGGTTGAATAAACTGGAATTATTTTCTTTGAAACAGAGCTAGACCAAGGGAGAATTAAAAGGTATATAAGAATGAAGGGTCTAGACAGAGCAGATTTTATTGATGTGTCTGCTAAGATAAATTCTGCGCTCCCTGAGGATATAAGTAAGTTATTAGATCATAAAATAAAATACAGCAGGAAAATTAGGCCATTCGGCCCATTCAGCCTGCTCCACCATTCGATCATGGTTGATGTGTTTCTCACTCCCATTCTCTTGCCTTCTCCCCCTAACCCTTGATCCCCTTACAAATCAAGAACCTATTTCTCTCTTAAATACACTCAATGACTTGGCCACCACAATTTTCTGTGGCAATGAGTTCCACAGATTAACCACCCTCTGGCTGAAGGAATTCCTCCTCTTCTCAGTGTTAAAGGATCATCTCTTCACTCTGAGTCTATGCCCTCAGATCCCAGTATGCCCTGTTGGTGGAAATATCTTCTCCGCATCCACTCTATCCAGGTCTCTCAATATTCTCTAAGTTTCAACGAGATCCCCCCTCATCACTCTAACCTCCATCGAGTATAGACCCAGACTCTTCAACTGCTCTTCATACGGCAAACCCTTCATTCCCAAGAGCATTCTTGTAAGGTTTTGAGGAAGGGTCACCAGTTCCGAAAAGTTAACTCTGATTTCTCTTCACAGATGCTGCCGGACCTGCTGAGCTTTTCCAGCAACTTCTGTTTTTGTTTATCCTTCTTGTAAAACCTCTGGACCACCTCCAAGGCCAGCACATCCTTTCTTAGATACAGGGGCTCAAAACAGCTCACAATATTCCAAATGCAGTCTGACCAAAACCTTATACTGCTGAAGCTATATATCTCTGCTTTTGTATTCTCGCCCTCTTGGAATGAATGCTAACATTGCATTTACCTTCCTAACTGTCAACTAGACCTGCATGTTAGTCTTAAGAGAATCCTGAAATATGACTCCCAAGTCCCTTTGCGCTTCAGATTTCCGAAGCCTTTCCTCATTTAGAAAATAGTCTACACCTCTATTCTTCCAAAGTGCATCACCTCACATTTTCCCACATTGGGCGAAGAAGTGACAGATGGAATACAATCTCCTAGCCTGTTCAAGTCCTTCTGCAGCCTACCCACTTCCTCAACACTACCTGCCCCTCTGGCTATCTTTGTGTTATCTGAAAACTTAGCAACAGTGCCCTCAGTTCCCTTGTTCAGATTGTTAATGTACAATGTGAACAGTCTTCCGCCTCCCTCGCTTCTTAAACAGGGGTGTTACATTAGCCATTTTTCAGTCCTCTGGCATCCTCCCTGACTTCAATGATTCCTGAAAGATAACCACAAATGCCTCTAAAATCTCCCCAGCTACCACTCTCAGAACTCTGGGGTGCAGTCCATCTGGTCTAGACGATTTATCCATCTTCAGACCTTTCAGCCTCCCCAGCACCTTCTCGTTAGTGATGGCCACTACACTCACTTCTGTCCCCTGACTGGTATGTTGCTGGTCTCCTACTGTAAAAACTGATGCAGAGTACCTATTCAGTTATTTAGTACCTATTTCAGTTAGTAGCAATCCTAGTATGCCCTGTTGGTGGAAATATCTTCTCCGCATCCACTCTATCCAGGTCTCTCAATATTGTCTAAGTTTCAACGAGATCCCCCCTCATCATTCTAACCTCCATCGAGTATAGACCCAGACTCTTCAACTGCTACCCATTGCTACTTCTCCAACCTCATTTTCTAGTGGTCCAATGTCCACTCTAGACTTTTTCTTACTTTTTATATATCTAAAAAACTCTTACAATCTTCTTTTGTATGAAGAGATATACACTGGAAGGGGTGAATGGTCTATTCCCGTTCTAATGTTCTTCCTAATAGCCATAACGTCAAATCATAGAGAGAGGCCATTCCACCCACCATCAACTTGGAGAATTGGAACGGAGAAATTTAAACTCTGATAGTAGACGACTCAGGTTTTTAAAATTATGAAGATAATTTTGGTTGAGATACTCAAAGTTCACACTTGGTAGCAAGTCTAGAAAGCTATAGGGTTATCATGATAGATTAATTAAAATCCAAATGGCTGCCAAGAAGTGATATTTTCTCAAAGATTGTTCGTACATTCTGCACCAAAAGTTAACTACAGTGTGTTCCAATCATCTAATCTACATGAATTAACTTGATATGCAGTCTTCCTCATGCGCTTTAGGACATGTCAGGTTGAGAGGTTAGATTAAGTTCAGTCTGCCATTTTCTAGAACGTGCTGGACCGTTTTGTGTAATTGTGGAGCTATTTGTCAGGTCCTTCCTGAAACTGGAGCTAGTATAACCAGCATTTGAAAGTGTTGCACATGATTGGCAATACTTTCTTTTAGTATTTCAAAAGACAGTCAGCAATTATCTCCAAAATGAAATTACAATTATAGTTACATTTATCCATTAAAGTGACAAGTTCAAAACCTATGTTCATTCCATTACATTTGACTTCATGCTCTACGGAGCAAAACAAAATGTTATTTTGATATTTTTAAAAAATTACTGACTTTGTTTTATTTTGTATTTATAAAACATCATAACAATTCCTAGTTAGCTAATCAACTGGACACTTCAAAGGAAAAGTGACTCTTCCTACTGTGTACAATAGATTAGTTATATTTTCTGATCTAAATTTGTAGCATCATTATAGTAGCACCTCAGCCTATTATTTTCATATACACAACTTCAGTCCCTACAGATGGATGACTTATTGAATCACTTACTATAAAATCCAGTGTTCAGAAATGATTTACTATTAAAGTCACATTAAACAGTCTGCATATAGATGCCTTTAGTTTCCTATGTTAGTGGAAAGGTTTATATAACAAACTGCAGTGAGCAGAACATTGGATTTTACAAGTACATTAAATTCATATCAATTCAGAAATACTCAATGAGATGATAATTTATGTTAAATGTCTTACCGTACTGCACAGACATCACTAAATTATCTGAAAATGGCATGGGCTTAACATTTAAAGTACGTGCCAAGATGGAAAAAATGCCTCTTAAAAATGTCTAATACGTATCCTCTTGTAATCCTGGAGCTAGACAAGATTTTTCTAGAGTAATCAACATGGCATAAGAAGTGGCTAACTGCATTTGAGACAGTGAAGGGTGTGAATCCTAACAGCATCTTGGTTGCAATTCTACAGCCCTCCTGCTCAGACTAGCCACTCCTTGGCCAAGCTCTCCCAATCATTTGCACCCCAGATATTTAACTGACAATACTAGAAGATTGGCCCGGTATGTCCTTGCCACAAAAATCAGGATAAATATACCTGGGATCTGCGGACAGCATCCAATGCCAGTATATCCTTCCTTAGATAAAGGGACCAAAACCATTCACAGTATTCCAAGCGTGGTCTAACCAGTGTGTTGAAAAGTTTTAACAAGACTTCCCTACTTTTACACCGCATTTGCCTACTACCTGATGAACTTTGATGCTAGCTTTCTGTGATTTATGCAGTGGGACTCCCAAATCCCTCTGTTGTAGTTAATAATTATTTATTTAGTGTCATGGAGACATACAGCATGGAAACAGACCCTTTGGTCTAATTTTTCCATGCCAACCAGATATCCTAAATAAATCCAGTCCCATTTGCCAGCATTTGGCCCATATCCCTTGCAATTCATATACCCTTCCAATTCATATACCCTTCCAGGTACCTTTTAAATGGTGTTGTCCCAGCTTCTACCACTTCCTCTGGCAGCTCATTCCATACATGCACCACCCTCTGCGTGAAAAAGTTGCCCCTTAGGTTCCTTTTAAATCTTCCTCCGTCTCACCTTTAAACCTATGCTGTCTAGTTTTGGGCTCCCCCACCCCGGGGAAAAGACCTTGTCTATTTATGCTATCCATGCCCCTCATGATTTATAAACCTTTATAAGGTCACCCCTCAGCCTCCAACGCTCCTGGGAAAATAGCCCCAGTGTGTTCAGCCTCTCCCTATTCTCAATCCTAGCAACAGAGTCTATAGATGTAAGGCTGGAAAAGCACAGCAGGTCAGACAGCATCCGAGGAGCAGGGAAGTCATCGTTTTGGGACGAAACCCTTCATCAAGACTCACTGTCTCCAATCCTGGGAACATCCTTTTCTGAATCCTTTCAAGTTTCACAACATCCTTCCTACAGCTGGGAGACCAGAGTTGAACATAGTATTCCAAAAGTGCCTTTCCAAAGTCATGTACATGCAAAACATGACCTCCCAACTCTTATATTCAAATATACCTACTGCGATTCCGAGCTGGCTGTGATCCCCACCCCACGCTGTAAACGAGGAGTGTAAAACGCTGCCCAGTGAGTCGTCGTGCTGTTCAACATGGGGGGTATCACAGCCAAGCTTAGGACTCGGGCCTAAAGCGAATGTGTGCAAAACCCCAGCCCCAACGTCCGGAGGTCCAGCCCAGGCCTGTAGCACAGCGGCTGAGAGCTTTGTCAAGACTTGGGGAAGAGTTTGAAGAGTTTGCACGCTGCTGGGGCTGTACACGGAGCTCCTAGCCAGCTTCACTCCGCTACTGATCCCAACACATTCAACCAGAGGGGGATAATTCCCATTGGTGGGGATAGGGTTTCCTTCATCTAAATGAAAGCACGCACAGAAATGGTGTGCGTAAACATAAAGTAATGCCATGGAGGGTCTGGAAACTTTCACAGTTTCTGCACACCGCCCACCCCACTTCTTATAGTAACCCTTTTATTTTCCCCGGAGGCTTCAGAGAGAGAAGCAGAAACAAAAGCTTGCTGTCACTGCTGTGATTGAGGGCCGGTAAGACCATTGCAAATACGCAGGCTACAAACTAGAAACTCAGGCCGGGGACTGCCTCCGCCAACCTGCTGCTTCCGATCGGGCACTTCCGCGTTAAAGTCACCGGGAGAAGCCGCCGCCGCCCGGCTCCAGCACCCCCCGGGGGGGTGGGGAAGGGGTCCGCAGCTGCTCCCTGTCCCGCACTATCACTTACTCTGCCAGGCCACTCGCTTCAGGCTGTGCTCCGCAGTTGCCATCTTTACTTCTCTCCGGGCAAACCCTCCAATGACGCGAAGGCTCCGCAAACTTCAATCCGCTCCAGCCTCTGGGGAATAGCGAGAGGGAGTGTATACCAGGCAAACTCAAAAGTCACCCTGCACACGGGCAGACCTTCACATGTAGAGGCACGGCAAATAAGCAGGTTACAAACTAGAACCTTTACAGGCTGTGCATCCGGATTCAGATAGTTTGCAGACGGGCAGAATCCAAACCACTACTTTTGTAAATATTGAACCTAGCGGTAGCAGTGCAAACTGCAAACCAGGAGTTTTTCAGGAACTGGACCCGCTGCTAATAGGCATAAAGTCCAAAATTAGATCTCTACACACACACTCCCCAAATAACCTTCAGGAAATGACACTGAACTCATAGGCCGAGGCTTCCGTAGGTAAAGTCGGGAGTTCCCAGGCAGTAGTAGACTCTACAATTACTACTCAGCGAGGGGCCACGACAGTATTCAAAATAAAGTTTGCGAAGCACTTCGATGGACACTGCAACGAATCAAAACTCCTTGGGATACTGAACCCACAGGCACTGTAGAATAATTAAAGAAAAACACCTGAAAACAAAGAAATTGAAATAAATAATAATTTCCATGCCCTCCCCCAACACCTGAGTATTTTACTTTGCAATTTCCAGTTGTGGGAGAAGCCAAAAAAGAGCTCCAGAAAGTTGTGAATAAACCGAATAAGAAGCGAGAAGTTGGAACAGAACTCATTGCAGGAAGTTGTTGAGACAAATACCTTGGATGCTTCCATGAAGAAATGAAAATGATTGTTTATTTTTCAATGTATGAGGATGAATTAAGAGGAGATTCATGTAGATTATAAGGGCTGGGGAGAACAATTAGAGTGAAGGCCTGATTCTATTCTACACAGTTAACTCACTCTAGATGGGATTTGTGCCCCTAATCCCTGGTTTAGGAGGCCAGTGCCTTCGCCATTAGGTCACTAAGGCAAATGTAGAAGAGAAAGGGTGGTGTTGGAGGGTTGCTTTTCAGACTGGAGGCCTGTGACCAGTGGTGTGCCACAAGGATTTGTGCTGGGTCCACCGTTTTTTTGTCATTTATATAAATGATTTGGATGTGAACATTGGAAGTATGTTTAGTAAGTTTGCAGATGACACCAAAATTGCTGGTGTAGTGGATATGAAGAAGGTTACCTCACAGTACAATGGGACTTTGATCAGATGGGCCAATGGGCCAAGGAGTGGCAGATGGGAGTTTAATTTAGATAAATGTGAGGTGCTGCATTTTGGAAAGGCAAATCAGGGTAAGACTTATACACTTAACAGTAAGGTCGTGGGGAGTATTGCTGAACAAAGAGACTTTGGAGTGCAGGTTCATAGTTCCTTGAAAGTGGAGTCACAGGTAGACAGGATAGTGAAGACGATGTTTGGTACACTTGCCTTTATTGGTCCATGCATTGAGAATAGGAGTTGGGATGTCATATTGCAGCTGTACAGGACATTGGTTAGGCCACTATTAGAATATTGCATGCAATTCTGATCTCCCTGCAATAGAAAGGATGTCGTGAAACTTGAAAGGGTTCAGTAAAGATTTACAAGGATATTACCAGGGTTAGAAGGTTTGAGCTATAGGGAGAGGCTGAACAGACTGGAGTTATTTTCCCTGGAGCGTCGGAGGCTGAGGGGTGACCTTATGGAGGTTTATTAAATCATGAGGGGCATGGATAGCATAAATAGACAAGGTCTTTTTCCTGGGGTGGGGCAGACCAAAACTGGAGGGCATGGGTTTAAGGTGAGAGGGGAAAGATTTAAAAGGGACCTAAGGGGCAACTTTTTCATTCAGAGTGTGCTATGTGTTTGGAATGAGCTGCCAATGGAAGTGGTGGAGGCTGGTACAATTGTGTGTCTTCCTTCTTTTTAAAGTGCTATTGTTTTGATCTTTTTATTTTCCCAAAATTGCAAAACAATGCAACAGCTTATAAAACAGTAATTCCTGCTCCTAGAATTTGAGGAATTCAGCTCTAACACAGAAAATACCTCAAAAAAGGAGCAGCTCTTACAGCCCCTTTTTTTTCCGGTCCACCATCTTGGATTACCCAGAGTCCTTTCCTAACTGTGACATTTTTTTTTTGCAGATGGTTAGTCCAACGTTATTGTGGATACTGTGATTATTTTCAACTTAATGACTGCCAGTGAGACTCAACTTAATGATTTGGATCTGCTTCAGTTTACCACTGAAGAAGGTCAACAAAATGTGCCTGTAAGGACTCTCCTTGCCCCATCTCCTTGATATCTCCCAATATTATAGTCCCCAACTCCTTTGATCCTGACATTTTCTGTATCTTGCTTCTTTAGGCCATGTTTGATGTCTGTGCTTTCATTCCAGGGATCACACTCCCTGAAATTCCCTTCCTAAACCTCTCCTACTGTCCCCCTTTCTCTGCATTTTTAAGACAGTTTCATCTCCTCGACAAAGCTTTAGTTACCACAGAGTTCTGTTAAATCGTCTAAGTTCCAGGACATCTCTGCAGGAGTTCCTCTGGGCAGTGCCCTAGGCCCAACCATCTTCAGCTGCTTCATCAATGGCCTTCCCTCTATCCTAAGTGGGGATTTTCACCAATGATTGTACAATGTTCAGCACCATTTGCAACTCCTCAGATACTGAAGCAATCCATGTTCAATTGCAATAAGATCTGGACACTATCCAGGGCTTGGGCTGACAAGTGGCAAGTAACATTTGTACCACACAGGTGTCAGGCACTGCCCATCTACAATAAGAGATGTTCTAACCACTGCATCTTGACATTCAATGCTTTTACTTTCACTGAATTCCCCACTATCATCATCCTTGGGGTTACCATTGACCAGAAACTCAACTGGACTCACCACATAAACATAGTGGCTACAACATCAGGTCAGAGGCGAGGAATACTTCAGCAAGTAACTTAGCTCCTGATTCCACAAAACCTGTCCTACTATCTACAAAGCACACATCAGTAGTGTGATGGAATGCTTCCCACTTGCCGGGATGGGTATGGCTCCAACAACACTCAAGCAGCTTGACACCATCCACAACAAAGCAGTCTGTTTGATTGACACCACATCCACAAGCATCCAATCCTTGACACTCAGTAGCAGCAGTGTGTAATATCTACAAGATGCACTGTAAAAATTCACCAAAGATCCTCAAACAGCATCTTCCAAACACACAACCACTTCCACTGAGCAGAATAAGGGCAGCAGATGCATGGGAACACCACCACCTGCAAGTTCCGCTCCAAGTCACTTGCCATCCTCACTTGGAAGTATAATCACTGTTCTTTCACTGTAGCTGGGTCAAAATCCTGATATTCCCTCCCTAAGGGCATTGTGGGCCAACCTACAACACATAGATTCCAATGGTTTGGTTCAAGAATGGAGCTCATCACCACATTCTCAAGGGCAACTAGGGATGGGCAATAATTGCTGGCCAGCCAGCATTGCCCACATTCCACAAGTGAATTTAAAATAAGTGTTTGGGGATTTTTTTTCTAACATTAATGATGCTGCAATAATGCAACTTAATCTGTATTTGACCAAGGTTAAGAAAAGCAAATTGAATAACAAAAAATAGCATCTCTTTTCCAAACGAAATTGAAAAGAAAAGAGAATTCTTGAAGATTTGTAAGGATTAAGATTTTTTTTTGAAGAAGCTAGAAACTAGATATGGTAAGACTATAAGCAAATTCAATATCCCTGAGTCACTTCCCTTGTTTTGTCACAGATTAACATTAAATTCCATTTATTCGTTTTTAAGCAGTTATCATCCACTCTGATCTTTTTATAGGTTAGACTGTCAGTGCTACCACAATAAAAACACCTGGTACGCTTATCAGTGACTTGATGCCAAAATTTTTCCTTGAACCTGCATCAAAAAAGAATCCTAAATATTTTTAATAAAATCTAGTACATTAATCCGTGCTCCAAAGTAACTGAATATGGAACAATGAAACCTTATGCATGCAAATGTTTTCCAAAATAATCAAATGCACCTTGAAGTCAATTTACTTCACTCTTATGAATGGTAAAATAAATTCTTTAAGAGCCAATGTGATAATAATGTTATCTTTATAATTACACTTAATGAGGGAGATTGAAACAAACAACCATTTCTGCAAAGAAAATTTGAATCAGGAATAGGCCGATCAGCCTTGAATCTGCTCACAATTAAATCAATGAACTGTATCTCAACTCACCCTTTGCTTTATGTACCGTACTTTTTGATACTTTTGTCTAGCAAAACCTACTGATATCATTATTGAAAATTACATTTTAGCTAATCTTTTAGATAAAAGAGTTCCTGATTTCCACTGCGCTTTGAGTACCTGAGGTATAGAAAAAGTATTTCTGATTGCTCATTAATTTCTTATTATTCCTGTAAACAATTCAACTCAATCATCTTCCATCGTTTTAAGCTTAAGGAAATATACACCAAGTTTATAGGACTAGGAAAAGGGATAGATCATATGGTTCCTTGATCCTCCTCCACTGTTCAACTAGATCATGGCAGAAGTACTAACTATCCACTTAGTTCGTTGTATTATCATATGTTAAATCTACCTCTCTACATCATTTATTACTTCTATCCATAGTATAACTCTATGCTGTGCCCTGCTAAGGTTTACAGCCGAAAACTGAATGCATGTCCAAATAACTAAAGCACTAATCCCTCACATTTCTATGGTAAACCACTAAAGATAAAGGCCACCAAATGCATTAGCCTTTTAAATTATTTTAGTTTTCTACATTTTAGTGATTTGTGTTCAATGACACCCAAATTCTTTTTCCCCTCAAGGTGGCTCAGAAAATATTCTGATTTATCTTACTCAGAGGAGATGATCTCTCACTTTCACACATTGAACATCATCTCCCACAGTTGTGTCATCTCACATAGTATGCCACTCCTTGTGAAACACTTAGCCTTTTTTGGCTCTTCTTATTTATTTGGCTTATCAGTCATTGGCATGAACACATTGGGAAGACAATGAAATTACTTGGATACAGCTCCCTTAATTTAACTTTCTTGTCAGAGATATCACAGAAGCTAAATTTTGCTGACACTCCTCAGTTTCATTGTTCTATCAGTATTTTCTTCAGTAAAGCTCAACTGAACTGACCTGTCAAAGTTTGACTTTCAGTAGTGTTCCAACCATATGCAACCGATTTGTTTTTTAGAACACGAGAACATCTGGAATAGTCCCCTTGAACCTGGTGCACCTTACGATAAGAGCATGTTGAACTTTTACTTCACTTCTACTTTCCTGCCATACCCTCATAACACTTCATTAGTACACAAAAACTATCAACCTCAGTCTTGATTGTTTGAACAAATGAATATTTGAGGTACAGAATGCCAAAGATTCACAAACCTCTGTGTGAAAACATTTCTCCTCATTTTTGTCCTAAATGGTTGACCCCTTAACATGAAACTTGACTCCTACTTCTAGAGTGCCTAGCCAGGATTAACAATTTATAAGCAGTTACCTCGTCAAGTGCTTTTATACA